TTGGCCACGGGATGTAATTAGATAACTAGATTCATAGTTTATTGCTTTACAGCCGTTTTCTAATTATGTCCTTCAATGGTTTTAAGGTTGAAAATATAAATTTAAAAAGTATAAACGTCTCATATTTTTCCATTTTAAATTTGTTTTCAAATAATTATAAATATATATTGAAAATTTTATAAAATCCAAACATTCTTCAATCACGGTTATTAGACCAAAAGATGATTTAATTAAATATTTAACTCATTTTGTAATAAAATCATCTCACTTCATTTTATACGGAGATATCGGTATTTCTTAGTAATTAAAAGTTTGGCTTTACACCACAACACTCAAAGACTGTTCTATGTTTCTTTTCTTTAGACTTCATAAGTTGAAATAAAAAAATTCTTGAGTTAGTACCGCACTTGCATTAACCCGTAATAATTTATTTGAATGGGCCAATAATTCTGTTGCTTTTACAATAGCAGTAATTTTCTATTATTTTTTATTCTTCGACTAATTGGCTTTAGCATGCGTAGTCACAATTTATTTTTCATTCAATTGAGATCTTCCATGTATTTAATACACTATTGGTTGATTTTTTGTGTTCCATTTAATATTTCAAGTATAATAATGGATTCTTTTGCAGACATGGTTTAATTGTAGGATTTATTTGACTTCTCATGTTTTATTATGATTAGAATTAAAAGCTTATTTCGTTATCTGTAGAAAAAAATTGCTTTGCAAATTATTTATATTATTACTTAAGCAACGTGGTTTATAAACGAAATTTGTTTGAACTTCATTATACAAATTGTGGATTGAATGTTTGCAGGCCTCGAGGCGTTTCGAAGATTCTTCGAATTATATTAAATCAGTTTATAAATATATAATTTTTTTTGTTGCTATTATTCGAAATTTATAACCGTCACGGTATAATCACCAGTATTTACAACCGGAAGTTGTCTCTTGAAAGAGTTTCATAAAATTTTGAAATGCATTAATTGAATTTTCATGTATTTGGAGTTCGTTTTCAGAACTGTAATTATGTGCGATTGTTTAAGTCAACTTATTTTCAAATGAGGATGATTTATATTTTATTCTTGTGCCTTTTATTAATTTACGTTCATTTTTTTTAAAATTCTATAAATTCATATAACATTTATTTTTTAATGGCATTAAACTTTGATTAATAAATAAAATTTTCAAAGGAAGGAATTGCGAAATATTTTGAGTGATGTGTAATTAAATTTTTTATTAGAATTGTATATATGATTGCTTTGGTTTAAAGCTACATCATTTGCATCGAATGTATTGTTATTTTTAACTGTTTCAATTTGGTGTTAGTTTAAGATTTTTTTTATTTTTATTTTTTATAAAATATCCATAATCTGCGGCTAGTATACAATCAAAAGGGTACAAAAGTAATCCATTGTAATCCATAATGCATTTTGCCTATATTTCCAATATATTTATAGTTTAATGAAAATCTTTGAAGCGAATTTTTAAACAATTTACTGAGTAGAATTTTGAAGAAAAGGGGAGAACTGTAAACTAGATACACCCCCGCATATTATTGCTTATTAAACTGGGTGATTATGTACAAAACATAAAAACCAATTAAGGGTAATCTGTATGGCATATATCAATAATACTAAAACTGACCTTTTTCAATGTACCTTTTCTGAAAAACTACTAATGATATTGCTTGGAAATTTTGGGGGGATATTTGAGATCATAAAAGTTGTATGATGTGATGATGTTTTAGCGTTAGCAAGAATACCTTTCGAGTTATGAAGAATTTTTGCTCAAAAATGATTAAACTTTTTTAAAAATTCGTTTTCAGCTCCTCTTTTTTTTCTTTTTTTTTTATTGTAATTTATTGTTAAAGATATGTATTAACAGTCATCACAGTGTAAACACGTATGTATGTGGAAATTCTATGGGAAAAAAAAACAGAAGCAAAATATTGTTTAGATGCTGAAAGAAGGTACATCAAAAAAGTCAGGTTTAGCATTATTGGTATATGCTATACTAACTACCCTTAAGGATGTGCTAGGAGAGGATTTAATATAGCAGTTTGCAAAGAATATTCTAGAAAGCAATCAAAATATTTTAATTTCAGCTGGAATGGAGAAAAAAATTGTTTTATCATTTATTAACATTTAATAAACTGCTGTTTAACATACTATACAAATTAGCTCTTTATTCTAAAATTTTAATTTGATTTTATTCAAAAATAATAATTAAATAACCGTGCATAAAGCATGTCGTATTTCTCTTTAACTAAATCACTAGGTATCTTTTATAAGACACTAAATCAAACCTGTTAAGAAAAACAATAATTTTTTTTAAAAAAATCTTTTTTTTTAATGGGTTTCAAAATAACTGCTATTGTTTCAAAGCAAGTTCTTTATCAATAATCCTCTTTTTTTATCTTCCCAAAGCAAAACAAATATTATATATGTCTTATGAAGGGGCAATCTCCTTCTGCCCTCCTTAGAAACTTCAAGGCAAAATACCTCTTGAACTTTGTATTTGCAAATTATCATACAAATCGAAAGAATATCAAGCCTGAGTAAGAGAGCATGATATATTTTGTTTTATGCTGTTTTTACTAATTATGAGCTACTAAACCTCCAACGATAAAAAATAAATAAAGTTTTGTAACCTCAAACTCACAATAACGGTTATTTGCAACTTTTTATTATAAAATCCTCAGATTTTTTCTCATCATAACTTAATTCTCTCAGTTAAAAATAAAATAAGAAAAAAAACTTTTAATGGAATTTGATTTTGAAAAAAAATTAACCCACTCCGTGTGGCGACGCCAGACGGAGATAAAGAAAGATGCTGCCTTTAAATCACCGTGTTTCATTTTTCTTTCTGATATCGTCACTTAATCACTGACAAGACAAACATTTAAAAATTACACATATTTTTCTCTCTGCTTGAGCCGCCGTTTTTCATGCGAAATATTTCTTTCTTTCGCCATTTTAAGTTTTTAACTCTTAGGATCCGTGAAAATAAGATATTGCCATTGAAAGAAACAATCGAACTTCTGCCACTGTAACCATACCTATCAGAGCTGGGGTACTATTCTTGAGCTCGTACCTTACTTTAAAGAAAAATTACTCTTTAAAATAAATTTTATTCCCTTCCGCGCATTCATATACCGACGAAGTTTTTTTTATAATAATCCTGTGGTATAAAGTTAATGAATGAATTATTGTTTACCCTCTAACCACTAGTAACCCATAAGTTCAATTTATATGAAACTGAGGATTTGGAAATTTCACTGCAATTAAGGTTTCAGCTGAAAATGTGACGTAGCAGAGACAATTGCGGTGAGGTAGGGGGGGGGTATGACGTCAATAATGGTTCGTTTTTCCCCGTCATTAATATAACTCTTTTATGAAAATATTCGTTTGCTTTTTTGTTAAAATATTCGTTGGTTATTGCAAAACTTTTCAAATTTTAAAAAGTGATGAAAAAATAGAGAATTTATTTAAATTCCAAATTGACTTTTGATCATTTCATGTGGATGGAGTGATTGGTTCAATTTTATGCTCCTTCACAACAATTTCAATTTTTTTTTTCCTTTCCAAAAACTCATTGTTAACTTGAATTTTTTTTTTTTTCTTAAACATTTTTCTTTATTATAGTAATTTTTGATAATCACAATTGAACGTACTTATATATTCAGTCCGCCACTCTTTCATTTAATTACTATTTTGTGTCTTTGATCTTAATGTCTTTATTTCATTTTCTTGTTCAGGGTGCATAACATTTTTAAAACTAGTTTAAAAGTGCTTATTTTAGATTGTAAGTTTTTTCAGAAACTAGTTATTTTATCATGATTGTGTTAAGTTTTTGAAAATGCTTCTAAATTTTATCGATTTTATGTTTATATATTAAGAACTTTAAACGATAGAAAAAAAATTTTTATTACTGCACAGATTTTAATTATGATTTTTTTTTAAGTGATTAAAAATATTTTTTGAGAGCTTGAAAAGTACTTAAAAGGTGCGTATTTTTTGTTGAAAAATCTGGCTGCTCACCCTGTTGTCGTATTTTCTGAGAATTCAGCTTCCGTACATTATAACCTTTCCTCTATATTTCAGAAAAATATAAAAATGTTAGAAACTATACAAAAAAATGGGGGAAATCATAGTGGTGTAAATTAAACATAAAAATTTCCAAATGGAGTGTGAGTCTTAATGTATCCTTGAAAATCTTGATTTGTGATTAATAATTTTTATTTACTTTTGATGCAGAATTGTTGCAGAAATAAATTTTCAGGAGGAGTGAAAAAAATAAATGTTAAAAAATCACCTTGATAATTTTTTTAACCATAGGATTTTTAAATTATGGCATTGAAATTACATAGTCTATAAAAATTACTTTGCCGTTTTTCTGGCATTTTTTTAAACTATTATGAAATAATAAAAGAGAAATAGTTATAATTATTGAAAATATTTTTATGCATGTAATTTGTATTATGGTGATCATGCTTTATAAATGGATGCAGTAATTTTTTAAATTTTTGGAATTCTCCTGAAAAAAATAATTCAAACCTTTCTATAATTTTCCTAAGTAAATTATTGTAAATTCAAGATATCAGTTTTGAAGACTATAAATCTGATTACGTGAGGAGGAAAAAGATGTTTATATTTACGAAAGCATGTTTTTGTGTCTAATTTGGAGACATAAGTTGTTATCTGGATTAATTTATTAATATTTTGTATGTGTCCCACTAAAACATTAAGATTACTTTTACATCATAATATGTGAAAATTGGATTGTTAGATAAAAGTATTAAAGGGAAGTAAGTTTTTATTTTGCCTCATCAAAGGTTTTATTGAAAAATACTGCAATTTTAATTTAACATGTTGCAGATGATAATAATTTCTGTTGTATCTTTTATAATTATTTAGTTTAAATTAACTGATCTCTCTTAAAATGTTTGATACAAAGTAAGGGCTTTTTATTATAGATTGCATTTTTTTTTTTTTTAGGCATCAATGGATTTGCCACCAGATAAAGTGAAACTTTTAAAGCAATATGACGATGAGAAGAAGTGGGACATGATATGTGATCAAGTAAGCTTTTTATTTTTGTTAAATTTAATTTTGTTTTATTCAATGCTTATTGTTATTTAAAATTAAATATTTTTTAAAAATTCTTTCAGGAAAAAGTCATGGCGAAAGCGTCTCCTGCTTTTTATCTTCGTAAATTAAAAACATATTTAGACCCTAAAGCCTCTAGAAGCTCTCGAGTATGTATTCTGAATTTTTAACACTATTTGTATTATTCTTTTTGTTCCATATTTTGCAAGAAATGACTTGATTTGCTTTTTTTTCACTATCTAAATTTTAAAACTTATTGCGCGAATGTATTTTCAGTAATATTCGCAACATTTTACTGAACTTAAATTAAGTAATAATACTCAATAACAGCAAATAATTAAAGTGTCACAAAAAGCAGTATTATTTTGAATCATAAAAGTATTTGCAAACTTGAGAGATATCATTATTTTCTATATTTTAAAAAAAGCTCATCCAAAAGTACTATAGTTTTTAAATTTTTTAACGATATTTAAAAGAAAAAATTAAGTAAATAAAGAACTTTCAATTAATATTTGACATATGAAAACCACAAACATCAAAGATAATTGAAATGTATAAAATTCCCTCCATAAGAAGAGTCTCGCTATCTCAAACCATTATTCTCGCCATTACTCTCGCTATCTCAAAGTTGAATGAATGCTAAAAAAAATTTTGATATAGCTAGTTTTTGAGGTAACAAATTCAGAACTAAATATGTTCTAAAGGGTGGTAGAAAGCAAATTCTGAAATGTTCCATACATTTGGTTACTTCTTTAGCAAAATAAAAAGTTATTTAAGCAACAAAACTTACTGTTTCTTTTTTAAAATAGTTTCTTTCATACTCACAATGAAAAAAATGGTTTCTAAAATATGTATGAAAAAAATATGTTGTAAGTGCAACCAGTTTTTGCCTTACAATTTTTTTTTCTTACTTCAAACCTGCAAAATGAAGAATCGATCCTGAATAAGTATTAAACTAATGATTGCAAATTTTATCTTTATATTACTTCTTGTAGGCTTAAAAAGTCTTTCTGTGTTACTCAATGGCCTGAGTCTTAGATTGTTGTTTCTGCCTATAAAAAATAAATTTCATTGATTACCTTTAATTAATTTTGATCTTTGTATTCCTGCAATGGAAGAAGCCTTTTATGTTGCCCTTATTGGAGAAATATATGTGTTTTTGCTTTTTTTTTTATTATTATTATTATATCAAAAAGCCTTTTAATTTATGGGTAAACAAAAATTCAGTATAAAATTTTTAAAAAAATTGGTGATTTGTACGTTGATAGTTTTTCTAAGTTTTTAAAAAATTTATAAAATTTAATGTTTGTAATTGCTGTTTATTTTTATTAATTTATTTTTTTAGAAAAGAAAAATTCTAGGTGATGCTACATCTACACAGGTGTTAAGAGATCTTGAAATATCATTAAGAACGAACAACATAGAGTAGGTTTATTTATTTTTCTTTTAACTGCTGTCCATTTCATACAGCAAAATTAAGATTTTTTACTTAATTAATATTTTTTTTTAATTTTCCAGATGGGTGAGAGAATTTCTTAATGAAGATAATATGGGACTTGATGTTCTAGTTGATTATTTATCTTTTAGACTTTTAATTGTAAGGTATGTTGAAAGTATTTATTATTATTATTATTTTATAATGTTTTGTCAATTGCAACACTAGCCTCCTTTACAGCACACCGTCACAAACTCATTGCATTGTTTGGTCTTGCTTTTATATGACATTTCAATGAATCAGTTAGGCATAATTATAAACATTAACCCATAATATTGAGGTACACCCCTAAACCTGGCAAAGTTTAAGGGCATTAGTCACCCTTTAAATCCTTTTTTTGAAGCACACGTGACAAAGTCTAAGTTCATGCAAAAGTACTAGACTATGTGTTGTATAAGATTAGGGCAATCAAACCTTAAATATGGTTCCATCACATTTTTTATTCTACCTAATTGACTTGAAAAATATTAAATTCTTTTTGATGGGAATTAAGAAGTTCTAAAAATTTTATATTTTTAACAAGTGTTATATTTATATACTTTTAAAAGCAACATTTTCATATGATTCAAGCATTGTTGACTTAGAGACATATCAACACTTTTGGTATGGTGTATGTAGACCAGGGGTTTCCAACTTACATGAGGCCGGGGGCCACAATTAAAAACACAAATCAAATGGCGGGCCGCAACTTTATCAAAATTTTTTGTTGGGCTCTTTTATGTTTGAAGGCATATTAAATATTACTGTCAGAGTTTTATCAAGTTGTACAAAACAAAAGTATTGAATTACAAATTTAAATAAAAAGTAGATTTTTTAAAATATTTAATTGTTATTAATAATATTTTTAAAAATATTACATAAATAATAAAAATTCGGGCTACAATAACTTTCAAGTGAGCACCTATGTATTAAACAATTAATGTGCAGCAGATATCTAATTGTTAAGGTATTAAAACTTACATAGTAGCACACAAAATATTCAATGAGAAAATTGAGGTTTGTCTGATATACGAATGCCTGGACNTATTTTCGTCCAAAATGAGTGGTTTCAAAAAGTTAAATCAGAGAATTTCTTCGAGAAAATGTTTGATACGCACATGCTAAATTATATTCACAAAATACACAAAAATTAAATGAATAGAGCAACATACACAATTATTTTGTATTTGAATAAATATTTTCTTGGGTGCAAAACCTGAAAAATAAATTTCTTTGCACCGTTGGTATGTTAAATTCCACAGAAACGAAGAAATTAGGTTTTTATTAACGCGAAAATTATTTTAAACCCATGCAGATTTTTTACGAAAATTGTCCGAAAAAAAATGTAAGCTAATATATTTTAGTTCGCGGGCCATAAAAAAAGGCTTCGCGGGCCGCCAGTTGGAAACCCCTGATGTAGACGAATATGTATGCAGATCAGTCTGTAATTGCATTTTGATGTCTCAGTGGTTATGTCACTGGATTAACAGGACTTTATACAAGCTTGATTATACTTTAAAAACTTGAAAATGACTGAAATGATGTAAATTTCCCTTTATCTTATCTGCCGTTTTCCAAATAAGTATCATAGAAAACTGGGTTTCACTGCAGAGCCAGTATAAAATTTGAAAAGAGTCTTGTTTAATGAGAGGGTTAAGTACTGATGTGTTATTGTATTTGTTTTTAATGTGTGTTTGCAAGTTAAATAAAAAATACATACATTGTAATTTTATATGTCAAAATATGAATTTATTTGTAATACATTTTACCAGTCTATTGGATTTTAATATGTGATAATCAACAAAATATGTGAATAATAAACTTCATTAACTGATAGTTTTCTAGCATATATATTTTTTTTAACTGCTAATTTACTGGTATTCTTTTGTTTGTGAACTGAATGTTATACCATAATCTTTTTAAGTCTGTTTTACAATAAATGTAATATAAAAATTTGCATAACATATCCAGTATTTAAAAAGTTATCAGTATTTTCAGAAAAAGCATTTAATTGAAATGTGTGGGGGTTTTTTTTTATGTGCTTATTGTTAAATTTATCCCAACAAATGAAAACAATTAATAGCAAGCTACAAACTGAAAGGAAAAAAATATGATATGAGTCCTAAGAATATGTTACTTAATTTAATGACAAATTTAGAACTTACTAAAATTAAAATTTTATGTCATATTTTTTTTCTTCTTGTTTTTAAGAAACATTAATTGTTTGTTCTCTTTCTGTAAAAGATATTTTTAATCTTTTTTTTCTTTTTTCATTTAGCTTTTAATTTTTTTCAAAACTTTTTGTAAACTTGGATAGGTGTCTTTATTTCTGGAGTTAGGCAAAAGTTTGAATGCAAAAAAATTAATCTTTGTTTTATCACTAAAATTAATACAATTTTCCTTTTTTTTATCGTTATGAAAATAATATCAACCCTAAATTAATTCAATGGATGCTAAAAAATGGTACTAATTTTACATAGCTCTTAATGATTACTTAGTAAGAATCTTATTATTAACTTGGATTACAAAAACATGGATCATTTGCAATATTCTGATCTTTTTACATTATTCAGATCAATGTGAGCAACCTGCAAATCAAAAACCAAATGTGGTCTTTTGGTGATTCACATAATGCCCTCTTTCTTCAAACTTAAAATTAGTTTGTAGCTTCCGTAAGAAAATTAATTAATTGTGTTTAAATATACTTTTCAAAAATTTGAAACTTTTAAAAAAGCTTACTTTAATCACAAAATCTTTGAAACAAGTGTGGTACAAAGATTTATTTTTTTATACAGAAATATTTAGTTTTCTAGAGAAATTTTATTTTCAAAAATGTAGTGAACTACTTTTTTGAATCAGCAAAAAAGTAGATTGTTAATTTTCATTCTGAGAAATATATATATTAATTATTACTGTTTATTTGCATATATTCTATGGTGTTTTTATTTTATACACCTCATTGGTAATATGTAAATGTTTTTTATACCTAGTTTAATGACTCATAAGTAATTTTTGTTTTTAGGCATGAGCGTATTGTTACTGAAGCAAATCATGATGATGAAGAAGAAATAATTCCTAATGGAAATACTCTCAGACCAAAAAATAGACCATTACTTCATGTTGAAAGCTTAAAAGTTCGAAGAGCCACAAAACACATAGCTAAACTAAATATGGGAGAAGCAAAAGATGACATACATGTTTGCATCATGTGCTTGCGAGCCATAATGAACAATAAAGTATGTTTATGAAATTGTTTATTGCACAAAATATTAATTTTATAAGTTTATTTCAACTTTACTTAAATATACTATTTTTCTATTTAGAATATGTACTATTTTTCGACTTAGAATTAATTAAAGAGTGCTTAAATTGTTTTTAACCGCATTTTTTTCCTGTAAATGGGAGCCGTATTTTAAAACTCATTCAGCTTCACAACTTTATATTGTGCTTTAACTGCTATAATTACCTAAATATTTTTTTTCATGCAAAAGTGCTAATTTTTAAGACTACATACATTATTGAGTTAGAAACTTTTGCTTGTAGGCTGTCACTAAAAATTTACCTTATACTTTAACTCCTGAAATATGCAAAAGTGCACTTTCAAATAGATTTTTCCTGGTCTGAAGAAATTTTTAAAATCAGACTTTCTTAAACTTAGAACTAAACTCCTCCTTTACGAGAGTCTTATCAGATCTATCCTGATGTATACATTAGAGATTAGGGCATTGACTTTATATGATGCCGAGGTTCTGGGGATTTTTGAGAGAAAAATTTTGAGAAGTATATCTGGTGGGATCCAGATAAATGGAGAAGAAGAAATAATTTAGAGCTTTAAAGGATTTTTGAAGAACCTGATATTCTAAAATTCAACGTGGACTGGTCTCTGAAAAGAAAGTCTTTTTGGCAAAGCCTATGGGAAAAAGATCTTGGAATTGACCTCTGCTAAGATGAATCGACTGTGTTGAAAATGGCCTAAACATTCTTAGCATTAAGAAATGGAATGTAGTCACCAAATGTCAAGATGCCTGGAGAAAATTTCAGGAAATGTCCAGTGTCCACCCAGAACTCTCTAGCCTCTGAAGAAGAATTATTTGCTCTTTGATTATGTTTGCAAACATATTATGCTTCATTTTCAGAATAAACTGAGTAAAGTAAAGTAGTAATCGTTGTTGTAAATCCAGCTATTTATGGAAGCCAAAACCTGCAGAAATCTATATAATCATATTAAATGACTAGTCACATTAAAAGTTATTGTATTAAATTTAGTACTCCGAACAAGCGTTGGCAATTATACTCTTCAAATTATATATGTATACATTCTTTCAACTATATTTTAAAGTTAAGAATGTAAGTAGTTATTAATTTATTTTGCACATTTAAGGGACACTGATTACATTTTTAAAAATCTCATACTTTTTCGGTTCAGGCAAATTGTGTATTGCAAAGGTAATAATTTATGTAAAGTATAAATTAGTATCTTAGTTTGGGGATTTACTACCTAGTTCTTTGCTAAATAGTTCTTATTCTCCAAACATTCTGTTTATCAGACTGAAATGTAACAGATGAAGAACAATTTATTTTTTCTCAAACTTTTTATTTGTTTCTTTTAATAACTACAATAAATTATTTTATATTTTAGTACGGGTTCAATATGGTAATTGAACACACGCAAGCCATCAATTGCATTGCCCTCAGTTTGAATCACAAGAGCTTAAGGTATGATTTCTATTCTCATTTTAATATGTTCTTGTAAGAATTAATTTTATGTTTTCTAAGCAAATTTCTGTTTCAAAATATCTGGTACATCATATTTATGCCTCTATGAGTGACATGTTAGATTTTCTGTCCTTGAAATTCGTATAAACTAACTATAATGAGACATTTTAAAGCCTCGTCTCCTTTAAAAAAAATAATTATGAATTTAATTTCAGTTTTCACTAGTATACTAATCTTTAGTGGTGTGTGGATACATGGCTCAAAATTCTCGATTAAATGTTCTTAAGATGCCGTAAAAATACCATATTTAATTTTTTTATTTATTTTTTTTAAAGACATTGGAAAATTTATAATTTATGAAAAATTGAAACCAATGTTTTCTGTAAGCATAAACAGAAATTGATTTTAGGTGGAAAAAAAAGCTATTGTTTCCTACAAAATATTCTTAATTTTTTTAAGTATAAAGAATATTTAAATTTTATTAGTGGTATGTGATATTTCTCATTGTTTAACCCTTTTCAAACTTTGTAATTAAATTTTTTTTAAATCATATTATATTCTCTTTAAGATAATTTTTTGGGGAATTAAATATTTACTTGTGAAAAATTTTTATTTTATATTCAAAGTAATTGATTCAAAGTTTTAGTGCCTTTAGTTATTGATTCGATGCTGTCTTTGACTGCATACTGAAGGCAATTGATGCCTTCACCCCAATCTCTACATGCCACTGATAACTTTTATCAATAATTTCCTTTTATCACCATGCAATTTTTAAGTGCTTCAAAATATTGTCATTCAGAAAGAAACTAGTATTCACATTTCCTTTAATTTATGTAATTTTGATTTGCGCAAACTATAAACCATTTCTAGAAACTTTCATCATTGTCTTTTTAATTGGGCTTAAAAATTTTACTTATAATAACCTGCAACTAGAGATTGTGCAGTTTTTTAAGAACGGAAATAACAAAAGGCCATTTAATTTGGTATATCAGTGTATATAATTTGTAACGTATAGGTGAAATTCAACAGCTTTCACATTCACACATAAATATTCTGTGCAGTGCAGCTGATATGAAATACTCACAGTCCTCTACAAAACTTATTCAGAACATTTATGAACTTACTGATACTACTTGAAAGTGGAAAAGCTTTCTTACATCAAATTAATTTTTTGTTAATTTTATGTAGTTTTGCTGTTTTTTAATCAAAACTGAGTGTATACACATGAAATTGTTTTGCATGTTAAAAGTATGTGAGGGACAAACTTTATATGCTTTTTTCCTTATGTTTCTAATTTATATCTCTTAGGACAAAGGCACTGGTTCTAGAACTTTTAGCTGCAATATGCTTAGTGAAAGGAGGTCACCAAATAATTCTTGCCGCTTTTGACAACTTTAAGGATGTTTGTGGTGAAAAAAAGCGATTTGAAACATTAATGGAATACTTCATTAATTATGAAGTATTTAACATTGACTTTATGGTAAGCATTTTTAGGAAGCATGGTATTCTTTCACATATTTATTGAACTTTATCTTCTTATGCTTGTGTTAAAAGACTACAATGATAATATATTAACAATGGTTAATGTCTATCATTCAGGTTGCTTGCATGCAGTTTGTGAACATTGTTGTCCATTCTGTAGAAGACATGAACTTTAGGGTTCATCTGCAATATGAATTTACACAAATCGGTTTGGACGATTACTTAGAAAAACTAAGGCAGACTGAAAGTGAGGAACTTCAGGTTCAGATTTCGGCATATTTGGACAATGTATTTGATGTTGGTGCTCTAATGGAAGATTCAGAAACAAAGAGTGCAGCATTAGAACAAGTTGCAGATTTAGAAGAACAACTATCTCGTGTAATTATTTTGAATTATTCTTGTCTATGGTGGTTGTAATTTACACCAATCCAAATTAATAATGTTTAAGTTTTCTCGCAGTTGTTAATTATGAAAAATTTTTACATTTTATTTACTATAGCATACCTCAAATCATCTAGTTTTATGTTAAAACATGTAAAACTCAACTGAACATGTTTGCTTAGTTTTTAAATCTTATACCTTTTTATTTATGTTTCATTAAAAAATATTTTAAATGTAAATTTCTACTTATATCATAAATTTTATTCAAAAATTGTATAATTTAAACATTGCATGCTGTGCAGTTAAAGTAAAGTTATAAATTGTCTTAAAGATACATTAAAATGTAGCAATATTCTGTTAGCAAGGGTGGAACCTTAAAATTAAACTTTTTTCCTGAGTGAAAAAAACCTGTTCAAATTTTAAAAAAAAAATTTTGTTTTTGAACTTGATCCAGAAATGGTAAGCTCATTTGCTTTGTTTCAAATTAAAGCTATTTTTTTAATGCTTGCTCAATAAATTTTTAAGCCAATACATGTGTATAAATTTTATTAATACTGTTTATCAGTATATGCAGTGCAATATGTTGGAAAAAAATAATGTTTGTAATAAAATTTAAGCTTTTGGCACACTACTTTTTATTTTTAAGTAAAACCTTAACAATTCAAAAAACATTATAATATTTCCTTTTTTTCTTCAAAAAATTTTTATAAACTTGCTATAAAAAATTTTCATTTGTTTTTTTTTTAATTAAATTTAAGTGATACTGAGACCTAACAGAAAAAAATTATTATAAATTCAGTTGTTCAAAATATTTATTAATTTATTTACTTCATGGACATGCACCTGTTAACTTATCTCTACTATTCTGTAACAAGTCTACATATTAAGAGAGAATTTTAAAAAAATTCGCAGATTTTTTTGTATCAAAATTTTTTTTTATTTGAGATAATATGCCCTAAACAAGCTCTTAATAAAGCTCATTTTTGTGCATCTGAAATTTATATTTATTTCACACCAAAATTTAAATCGAGATATTTTATTTGTTGCTTCCATTTTCTTTGTTAAAATAAAATTCTCTCCTTTATTTATTTATTTTTTATTTCATTCATGTTTATAAATATAAAAAATAAAAATTTGAAATTTAACCTTGTAAATGAATTGTTTTAGGATTAAAATTAAATGGTTCCAATTATAACAAAAAAATTTCATTGCTAAAGTTAAGCTTACTCGTTTTATTTTATTTCAATGAATTTAATTTGTTAATAGTTTTTTTTCCTCCAATTTTTTAGGCAAATGAGCAAATACAAGAAATGGAAAATGAACTTATGGCTCGACTAGGTAGTCAAAATTTTGAATTTTATTTTTAAACTGCCACAACCTATGTTATATAAATTATTCATAATATCTGCATATTTTATATTTTTTAGTTGAACTTGAAACGCACTTGGAATGTTTGGATGCCGTCACTCGAGAAAGAAATGAACTTTTGGTGTGTTGAGTTTAATTATTTATATTAATTTCAGTTTCGGCTAAATCATCTTAATATTGATATTTTTAAATATTTTTTATTTTTCACAATTCTACAGAACTTTGTATAGTCAAATAATGAAGTACATGACTACAGTATTTTCCAATTTATTCTCATTTTTTAAAAAAAAAGTAAAATAAAGGATTTATTTGTATTTCCTGTTCAACTTCAAATTATGATTTCGATTCTTTTTTTCTTTTCTTTTTTTAAACAAAGGTGTATAAAAATTACTAAAATTGTTTCAATACAAAATACTATTTCCTTGATTATATATGAACCTTTTTGTTTTTATTATTCAAATATTTCATCAAAACATATTTTTGTTTAATACAACTTGAATTAATTTTTAGGGTATTAATTTATTTATCAATCAAACTGAAATACACATCTTTAACTTAACAAAAATATAATAATTTATTTTTATTACTTTTAGGAATTGCATAAACAGACAGATGAAGAGTTGAATACTCTTAGAAGAGTTGTTTCACAAAAAGATGAAGAATCTAGGCAGAGACAAAGTATGCTGGAGTCCAAAATTCAAGAACTAGAAAGCAACAGTCTTCCGAGAGGTACAGTTTATTTATTTAAATCATGTTTCCTTGTGTATTTAAAAAAGGCACTAATGTATTAGGATTTCATTTTATATATCGATTACACATCATTTTAAAACTGGGATGATTGAAGGAAGCTACAACAATAAAAATTATGCTCTTTATTGTTTTTAAGATTTATTTCTCTTTAAAGAAATACTTTGTATCTAGTTACACTAGTTCTCTACTTCAGCATCGAATCAACTTATTTAGTAAACAATTTCTCATTTTGCCGAATCGTACAAGTCAAGAAGATCAATAGAATCTTAGATGGACAATATCTCATTACACCCTGTTCGGTTAGCAAACATTCAGTCAATTTTAATGTTTTCTTTCGGTTAGACATATGCAAGCCTCTTACAAAGAATAATCTAGTTCATTCTGATTGATATTACCATAATGAGTATCTATTTTTGGAACTTGTAAACTATAAGCTTGAATTCTGAACTTTCTGTCTAGTATTTGCTTTGAAACTAAATTGAACTAATACAGGGTGCGTAGCGTTTTATAAAAAAAGGGCTTAAAGGTGCTTATTTTCGATTTTGGTTTTTTAAAAGCCCTTAAAGGTACTTTTTTCATTGGGTGTAAGTGCTTAATTTTCCCTTTTCGAAAATGAGATTTTTTTTCTTTACTATTTCGATTTCCGTCTCGTATTATGCAAAATCGTGCTTTTCACATCGTTCTGTTCAACGTTTTCACATTTCATTCAACCACCAGCTATTTCGCCGTATTGTCGGTCCATAGCGTATGAAAGCGCCAATCATTTTACATGTTTGATGAAATACTTGCGAGTCTGCATGCGTGTCTACTGAGCAGGGTTCGGTGAGATTATTTCACTTTCATGTGCAACTCTGCTGCATTTTGCAAGATATTCTCAATTTCAGGCAATAGTTCTCTGTCAGAAACTAGTTATTTTATTGTGTTCATGTAAAGTCTTTGAAAATTTATTTGCATTTTGTTAATGTATATAGTGCTTAAAAATATTTTTTAAGTTCTTAAAAAGTGCTTATTTTTTGTTGAAAATTTGGCTACGCACCCTGTAATATCAAAAAAACATTTTGCTCTAAGTAATTTTTCTTATAGTAAAGGGACCTTTATTTAAAAAAACTGAAAATACTACTACTTTTTTTTATTGAAGTTATTTTGTTTCCCTTAATACTTTAGGAACTGTCATTGGAGGAACTGCAATGGATGGTCGAATTCAAACCACTCAAGTCATGCCACCACCACCCCCTCCTCCACCTCCACCACTACCCTCCATGCAAGTTATGCCTCCTCCACCTCCACCCCTTCCACAAATGATGAAGGCTCCACCTGGTCCTCCACCCATGCCTGGCATGATGCAAGCCCCACAAGATGGTATTCTTTTCTTCTTTTTTTACTCGTTTAACAATGACTTTAAATGTGCTTCACTCATTTAACGATAACTTCAAAAATGCTTTATGTATATCTGATTTTAACTAAATATTTGAAATACTTTTTCGTCAACATTCTTATCTTCATTTGTAATCAGTGCTTTGAATTGGTTTCTTTTTTTTTTTTAATTACATTTTTTTCTTAAATCTGAGATCTAACAATATGCTTTATTTTAACTCATTCTCATTAGGATACATTTATATAAAATTATTTTCAAGTTTTTTAAACATGCTTATTAGATTTAATCACTCTTGTAAAACGCTTTTGTTGTAACTGCAAACCATTCTTTTTCAAACAATTGCAATTATTCAATTCCAAGTTATCAAAGACAATCTATTAAAATTTCTAATGCAACTTTCTAAATTATCCATTTTAATAAGAGTAAAAGTAAAAATAAGCATTTTAATAAAAGTAAAAGTAAAAATAAGCATTTTAATAAAAGTAAAAGTAAAAAAAAAAAGTAAATATATTTAAATAACTGTTTAATTTGTCCCTAGAGAGGGTACAAATTCAAAGATTATCCATTTTATGAGCACCAAATCTTGGTTCTAAAGTATAAAATCCTTTATGGGGAAACATTTTATTCCTTTGGAGATGTTGGCTGTAGGTTTCTAGGTATTTGGCCGGAAACTTATAAATACTTATCTTTAATAAATACTGAAAAAGATTTTAATATAAAATTCATCTTCGAAAAAAATGAGGCTCTATATTTTTCAAGCTCTTCATTCAACCTCAAATAGATATTATGTATTTGCTTAAGTGATTTTTTAAATTATTTTTTCTTTTGCGTAGACAATAGTGTTATTAACATATTTTCAATATTATTATTTCTGAATGTTTTTTTCATTTATAATCTTTAGTGATCTTAATTTTGTTTGTCTATTATTATTACTAATTGAATTTTTAGAAATGCCTATACTGCAGCAAAGCAGACATAAATTTTTGGGTGGTTATGTAAAATAAAGTAATTTAAAGGTTTCTTGATATAAACTCTTTAGTTTTGGTTCGTTAAACGTTACCTTTTAAAATATTTTATTGTAACTTTACTATGTATATATTATAGCCATGACAATCAAGAGAAAGTTCCAAACCAAATACAAATTACCAACCCTTAATTGGATAGCACTGAAGCCTAACCAAGTTAAAGGGACAATATTCAGCGAATTAGATGATGACAAGCTGCACAATGTAAGCACCTGATTCTAATAGATTACCAATTATTATTTATTTAAATTGCTGTGATAAAACATGTCAGTATTGTTGGTAAAAAAATTTTCAATTGCAATTTAATGTTTCCTTTTTCCATGTTCCTTTTACATTTTTTAAGTTTCTCTGCACAGAATTAATTTTTTTAAAAATTAATTTTAAAATTACAAACAGAAAATTTTTATCCAATAAATTTATTTTCCTCAAAAACTTTTTTTTATCAGTTTTGAAAATCAAAATTTATTAAAAGTATGCATTTTTTAAACAGAAGAAACTGAGATTTATTTAATTTTAAATTTTTTTTCAAAAAAAAGAAAGAAATTATTGACTAGTTGAATGAATATTTATTCAGATGTGCCATTTGGGTACTTGCATTTCAAGAAGATCACAGATACCTACACATGTGACCTATGACGTTGGCGTCTGCTAATCATTTATAAGCAAAATGGCGTGTTAAAGTTGAACTAAATTTCTCCACATGACTTAAAATGTTAATTAACATGGAGTGAATTAAATACAGAGCTATATTGCACATCAAATTTGTTGAAATATAATTCTTTCTCGTCTACGTCTCTTACTCATCTTAGATTTATTATTTGCTTATGTCTTTTATTGTAACCGTGATAGTTTTTTGCTTTGTGTATCTGGCAACATCGATACATAAATAGTTTGTTTTTGTTCTACGTGGCTTTGTGCCTGTCTTTATGTTAAGTAAGAAATATAATTGAAATCTTTGTGAAAAAAATATAGAATGAGTCACTTGGGAAAATTGATACTTTATTGCTTACTCAAAATATAATGGAAAGAACAGTTGCTAACGTTAGCAAATGCCAGGTTTCAACAACCAATCAGGATCAAGATACTCGCATTATGTAATTTGCAAGTATCCCATTATTTAATAGGAGGGATCGAATTAGCCAATCATCAAATATTTGGTGAATCCCCTTTACTAATTTGATCTTTCATGATATGAATGATCTAGTAGATGTCCTCCTTATGTACTTGAAAATGCTGATGTTTGTTAGGAAATTCTGTGACCACTATATTATTTTTTTCCCCAGCACAAATCTAGATTTTCGGTGATTTAGATAATTGTGAGTTAAATAAGAAGAGTGCCAGTTTTAGTATGTTTGAACAATCCTAAAAATAAGTGGCAAAATAAACCAAAACTACGAAAAATAGTAATTCTAAATTTTCTTATCTTACTCAAAGGCAAATAAGACCTATCTCCTGTGTTTCCCAAAGTGTGGTACGTCTACCCCAGGGGTACGGGAACAGTTTAGCGGGGGTACACATTCTTTTGTGAAATACGTTGCAACAAACGAAAATTTCAAGAAATTTTATTTAAAAACAATGCTAGCCATGAAAATTTACGATTACGCATTTTTCTATTGGCTATTTTTTTGCAGAGTTATCAGTTAATAATTACTTGTGTCAACAGCCAGTTGTGATTTTTAACTTTTGTGCAATTTTTTTATAGTTAAAAATACATTCATTTTTTTTATTAGTGGTTATTCTTGAAATTAACTTAGATTATGTATTTCTTTAAAGGATTTTATTCAAACTAATTTTGTGTTTAATTAGTTACTTTAAATTACGTTTTGTATTTTAGGTTATAGACTTCACTGAGTTCGAAGAGCATTTCAAATTGGGAATCCAGGGAGGTTTTTCAGATCGTAATGAAGATATAAATAGCAGTAAGAGATTCAAGGTAACTGGAAACTTTTCATTGCTACAAGCCAAATTTTTCTAAAGAATAAAAGAGGATAAAATAATGATTTCTTCCTAGGTACCTGAAAAAGTTACTTTATTGGAACACAACAGATTGAGAAATATGGCCATCTCTAGGCGGAAGGTAGAACTTCCTTGTGATGTGGTGGTGAGGGCGATAAATGCATTAGATTTGACAACTCTCTCTCAGGAGTATGTTGAAGTACTTCTTAGAATGGTGCCAACTGAAGCTGAAGTAAGTTCACCTACCAAAAACTTTTTCCTAATTTATGATTACCATTTATATCTTATGTTGAAACTTTGCAGAATGGTTTGGTTTACAATGTTTAGACCAACACTAAGTCTGTTCTAGTTAACAGTTGTTAATGAAATGCAGTCTATGCATTGTTTAGACCATCCTATATTTGCATTGTTTTGATCAGCATAAAAAAAATAATTAATTCAAATTTTGAGCTCAAGATAAAAAAAGAGCACCCATAAAAAACAAAACAAAGAAAAAATTAAAGATAAAGTATTCGAAAAAAAATTTAATGTTCAGTCCATTCTCACCGGGACAATTAGATCTCGATTTTTAATTATTATAAACAAAGTGCTTTCCAGTGTTTTAAATATTTTTAACAATTTGTGGTTTTGACATAATTCTTCTGTCTAGTTTTGTTAAGTCTATGCAAAAATAAAATCAGGAAGAATATAAATACCACTTGTTTTAACTAAAAAATAAGCCACCTCTTACAACACTTCACAATAAGCAAAAATACAGTTTTTAAACAGGAAAAAATATGATTGAGGAAATCATTGAACCCTTTGAAAAAAAATTTACGATGTTGCGGTAGATTTCGAGCTGGTTCCACCACGAGGATACAATATGCCTAGTACTCTCTAAGTTGAGAAATGGATGGTCCCGTCACTCTTTCTTTTTCATTCATAGAGAATCCCAGTTGTTTCACGTTTATTGAGCCATAACACGAAATAGTAGGTAGTTTGATTAATTTCCTTCAGATTTTAATTCACTGACAACTATCAATAGAAAAATGTTAGTTATCAAAGCGGAAAAATTTATATGACTTGTTTTTGTGTGATTTTTTAGGAATTAAAAAAAATTCCACAAACTTGATCACTATATTGGAATAAAAGGTTCTAACGTAAAAGGGTATTACAATAAAATGGTATGTATGAAACAAGACTCCATGTATTAGTCTTTATAATGGAAGGGTCAAAGTAATTGGGGTTGTACAAAAGAGTGTGAACTGTATTCTATTGAAGTTTCTTGATCTATATCAGTTATGTGACCTGTTAAAACTTGCTTTTAATTTAGTTCCATATAAAAACCATTTCTATCATATTCCTTGTAGCACACCCTTAACTCCAAAAACTATGTCTTTTTGAGCTTAGTAGTAATCTCTTTCTAATATCAGTATTCCTGCAGCACAATTGGCTGATTAAATATTTTTAATAGTACTGCTCGTTTTTTTTTTAATGTTGGGCAGAATAATTTTCCTTTCCATCAGTTGATTGAATTGTGAACTTTTTTAATTGTAAATTTCTTTTCCTATGGTCCAAGTAATGATGGCATCTATAAAGTTTCACTAACATCTGCTTGTCAAAACTCACTCTATGTTGTTATAAGTGAGGTAACTTTAATTCCAGTTTGGGATTTCAAAAAATGAAAAATAATAATAAATTGTTGAAAATTGACAAAAAGTTGTTGTTTTTTTAGATGAAGGCTTATAAAGAATATGAACGTAATCGGAAGTCTGTTGATGCTTTAACAGACGAAGACAAGTTCCTATTTCAGGTTTGTTTGAATTTTTTGAAATATATATTTGATTTTAAAATTTATCTGTAAACTGTATATTGGTTTAATACAATATTTGCTTTTTATTTTAAAGTCTTGTGAAGTTAATTAAATTATTTTGCAGCTGTCTAAAGTTGAAAGGTTATCTCAGAAGCTCAATATCATGTCTTACATGGCTGGATTCACTGAAAATATTCAACTTATTACTCCAGTAAGTTCATAATTCTTTTTTATTTTAAATTTATGATGATATATTTTTAAACAAATAACATAAAATAGTTCATAAAGCTTAAATCTTTTTCCTGATTTTATGTTATTTAGTTTTTATTAAATAAATTATAGAAGTTTTTTGAGTGATATTTTTTAATTGTGTAACTTTCTTTGTCAAGGTTCAACTCAAGAAAACACTTTAATAAAAAATAAAAATCATTATGAGAAACTGTAACTTGTGTAAAACTTATCATATGTTGTTCACAAATTCCTGTAAAATTTTGTTACTTTGAAACCAAATGATTTAAAGATTATAACCCAGAAAAAGTAAAGAAAGATAGAAAAAAACTTTTGTGTATCAAGATTTTTTGTGCAATTTTCCTTTAAAAAACAAAAGAAAGAGGATGCTTCTATAAAGTATTAAAAAAAAGGCTCTAAAAATTCCTCTTTTAAAGTTTTTTTTTGTTTTGACTACAGTTCATAAAACTCTTATAGAGACAAAAATTTTGCAATGCGTAAATAAAATATGTAAGAGGAAGCGACTCAAGTAAGCTCCTCTTCCTTAATTCTTTTTGCACTAATGTTCATTTCAGATTTAGGAACAACTGTATTTTACAAGCATTTTTCAGTTTCCTTGTGTCCCTCATTCCCAGAGTTTTACTGTATGAAGTATGATTCAGCACAATAAGAGTTTTTAATAATTTGTTGTATACCCTTTTATGTACGCATTCCCTGTGCTGTTTATGACATGCTGGCAATAATCATATTTTAGTATGATTAAGTGTCATCTGAATTGAACAATTTAAAATTTTGTGAATTGCATTGTAGTTACTATGCCTCTTTCATGTTTAGGTATATTCCTTATGAGCAATCTTGCACTAATGAATTGATAAAATAACATATTTTTCCTCCTTGATTTTCTGCTTTTGAGATGATTTATGCTATTTATTTATTTATCTAGAATATCAACGCCATTATCAGTGCATCACGGTCAATTAAAAATTCCAAAAGGCTGAAAAAACTGCTTGAAGTAAGTTGTAGTAATAAATTTCAGTAAGCAATAAAATATCAGTAATATATATATGTATATATTGTATTGTTAATTCATTATCTACTTTTTTGTGTATCGTTTATCAAATTCTAAATTTATTTATAGTGGTTTTTAAAAACTGTTTTAAACCCAAATTAAAAATTCTGAAACTAAAATGTAAAAATTTACTTAATGTATTCGTAAAAAAAATCTTTTGTTAAATGAATTGCATTGAATTTCATCTTGTAAGTCCATTTCTGATTTATGTTAATCTGAAATAATTAAACAAAAATCCTTTTTCTCACTGTATGTGATTTAGATATATATTTTTTTCCAATGATTTAATTTCTCTTAACACCATTACCTCTCTACAGTTTTTTTTTTTCTTCAAATTTATCTATTTTGATTTTAAAAAGTTATTTATCATTTAAAAACCACTATTTAACTAAGCTTATCCCATTTTTTGTTAAGCTTTATATAAAATCTTAAAGCTAAACTGTAGCACATGTATTCGATAAAGTGATCAAAATATTAATTTATAAGTTAACTAAATATAACAAAAGTCTTATTCTCTCTATTTTTGCTGGCGACCCTAATTATTTCTTTCAATAATTATTAAAGCACATCTATTACCACATTTTTACTTGATTGAAAAACTAGAATTTCAAATCAATTTAACTTATCAAAAGATTACAGATTTTTAACATCAAAAAAATTGATTTAAAAGAAAACTACGAAGAAATTATAATATTGGATGCTAACCAGCAGAAATCCAATTGAACTGTTAAAATAACAGAGGCAGGCCCAAAGTGTACCACAGAAGAGCTAAGCTATGAGATGTTAATATTTGTTGTGAACAGTTCTGCTTAAGCAATTTTACTGGATTTGCATTTAACATATTTTTATTAACAATTCTTTATTTTCTTTTTGCTATGATACTAAAGTTACCATCATAAACTATATACTACTTCTATTTTATTCTTAACTTTGCAGTGATAGGTCTAAGTAAGTATTCAGTTAATGAATCCTGAATGCATGTGCATTGTGTTAGCATGAATGCATGTGTGGTTAGTTTGTGTATTTGAAAATTTTAGAATGTGTGGTAAAATTTTTTATTTATTACATATCTACAGTTATGTTATTTGAGTATCCATCTGTTTTCTGTTATCTAGTTTTTAACATATTTTTTTTTATCCATTTTTAAATGCATGCCCATTTAAGTACTTCATTATTTCTTCATTATTTTACATTGATTTAAAGTCTAAAAAGTTATTGCATTTGTAACCCTCTTTTATCTCTTTTGAACATAATATTTCGACTGATATTGTGCTATAGTCTATTACTTTACATGTTTGTTATTATACTATTATATTCCATAAACTCTGTTAAATATCATAAAAAATTAGCATTTTAAATTTATATGAAGATTTTAAAACCTGTAAGGTACAGTTAAAACAAATGCAATGGAAAAAAATATTCTTGATTAGACAATCTACTTCTTTGATTAAAAATTAATTTGTAATTATCCTCAGGTAATTTCATTATTTAAATACTGTTAAAATAAGTCATTTGAAAGGCAAATAAAATACAATTGAAATGGTAGTTTAACCTGGCCTATTTGTATTTTTTTTCTAGTTTAAATGTTTTCCTTACTTTTTCTTTGAAAAAAATTGAGGCTTTGGAGTTACTTTAGTGTATAATTGTTTTTCTAAATATAATTTTAAAAAATTGTGTTTTTGAACAACTTGCAATTAAAAGAGATGAGTGTACAAAGTAATAATTTGACTAAAATATAGAACTTATTAAGAATATGACCATAATAAGAATATTATTTATATTTGTAATCTTAGTTTTTTCTCTCCATAAATTATTAAGTTTAGAGGTATGCTTTATTCCTAAAGTGATGATTTTAAAAGTTTTTTTATTTACAAATACACATCGTTATTATATACGTACATTTCTAGTGTAATGTTTAATTTATGAATATAATGCCAAAGTTGACCAGATCAATGTATTATAATTATATTTGCTGACAGCTAAGGATTTATTTTGAATAAAATCAATTATACTGATTACTTATGATTACATCATATACTAAGATAATCAAAAATTGTATTACTGTAACAATAAACTCTTTATTTTTGTAGGTTATTCTGGCTTTTGGAAATTATATGAATAGCGCAAAACGGGGTCCAGCTTATGGCTTTAAGCTCCAAAGCTTGGATATGGTAAGTTAAGGATTGTGGCAGTTTAATTTCGTTGTTTTTGATTAAAAAAAAAAATTTGTGTAATATGTAAATTTAAGGAACATTTTCATATCTAAAATTTTATTTTGCAATTCTAATATGCTAATTTATATTAATTTCATATCTAAAATTTTATTTTGCAATTCTAATATGCTAATTTATATTAACTTCGTTTTTGACTAAGAGTCTAAAAGTATATATTAATTAACTATGGTGACTATAAAACAGTCTATTTAAACATAAACTATTGAATATCTTTTACAGCAACAATGGAATTTTTTGTGCATTTTGATTAGAAATTTTCCATCTGTAACAGTGCTTGGACAAGGAACTACTAAATTTTTTTTATAAAAAAAAATATATATTTTTTTTATTCCTTAATGAGATATTCTATTATAAGTTCCACTCATAGNAATTTTTTGTGCATTTTGATTAGAAATTTTCCATCTGTAACAGTGCTTGGACAAGGAACTACTAAATTTTTTTTATAAAAAAATATATATATATTTTATATTCCTTAATGAGATATTCCATTATAAGTTCCACTCATAGCACAATTTATAATATTTTAGTGAAAAATAAATAAATAAGCATAGTCTTAAAAAGATATCTTTAAATATATTCTTAAAATGTCTTTGGCTTAAGCATGAATAATAGTTCCTTCATATTTATGAAATACTTAAAATTGAATAAGGAATTGTAATATTATCCCTAGTGTGGCACGTTTGGCATAAAATTGTCCATTATTGCCTGTAGTAAGTAGGATTAGTGTCAGATTATTTGCTTCAATTTTTTTTTTATAGATTGTAACAGTTCTTTTCTTATTCTGGAATTCAAATCAATGACATTTTGTTATGCTATTTTGTACTCTCATTTCTATTCATTGCATGCATACATAAAGTTATGTCAAATATTTGTATATTTAAATTCTATTTTTTAATCTAAGTATTGAGTTAAAAAAAAAAAAATTAATATTTCCAGCTTGCTGACACAAAAACTGCAGATAGAAAAATTACTCTTCTCCATTACATTGCTGAAACTGTTCATCAAAAGTTTCCAGACATTTCTAACTTTGAAAATGATTTGCGATTTTTAGAAAAAGCAGCATCAGGTATAGAATTTAAACTTAATTAAAGGAATTTTTAATTTTTAGAGCTTAACTTTCTAAACTTTTATTTCTGATATTAATGTTCTTATGTTATTAATGTTTTTATGTTATTAATGTTAGAAAGCTTTTATTTGAATTTTTTTTTTAAATCAGTACAAGTATCTTTCATTAATTGTCACATTTTAATTTATAATTCTTAAATACTATGTTACTAAGAAAAAGTATAGTTTATGAGTGTAATTTCAAAAAAAATAAATATTAATATAACTTAGGTAAGTGATATTTCAATGTTTGTTAAAAGTATCTGTAAAGAATAGTAACCAACAATAAGCTTAAAATACATTTTCGATTTTTTTTTTTTTTTTTTAATAGCACTCAGTCAGCTAATTGTTAGAGGGTAGCATTTTTTTTTTTTGCCGTACCCACAATTTAAGAATTCATTAAATAATATTGACCTTATATATTGAAATGTTGGTCTTTAATGGATATATCATTTTAAATGAAAGTTTTAAAAAAAATTACGAAATTGGAAATATTGGACTGGCTGTCATTTTGTTTTAATCACATTTTAAAAAGAGGATTTCAGCTTGTATATTATTAAAAAAAATTTTAACTTTTGCTTATGCTGATAATTTTGAAACCAATTATAAGTTTTTTGAAGCTTTTAGAAGCATTACTGTGTTAAGTTGTTATTTTTAAATAATATATAAGCTATGCCAAGTTAAAAGTTAATTAAAATTGCGGTAATGAAAAGAAAGCAAAAGCTAAGGCACTTATTAAATGTTATTTAAATTCAGTTACCACTTTTAAAAAAAATAATGAAATTAAAGGGAAATCTTTTTTATTTGTAATAGGTCAGCTTTAGTATTCATTTCTAATGAAATGTGTTGTTGCTAATCATTGCATCAGATAAATAGGCAAATAGAATTAAAAAAAACATCCCTTACAACTTTTGTATGTTTCAAATTTTAATATCACAAAAACTTTTCTATTTTATGAAATTATTTTATTTAATCTTACATACAAAATATTTATTTTATTCAAAAATATATAAGTCAAGTACCCACTTTATTAAACTTATCATACTTTTCAAATCTGCAATTAATCTTTATGATCTTCTTTCAAATGAATATATTTGAAATAATATTAGTATGTCAATTCTATTTACTTAAAATTCAATTTACTCACATATAAAACATTACACAGGCAAATACTTCTGTTCTCTCCCCATCTGTAAAAACTCATTCTAAAAATTAAGAAGAAAAAATGATGATTTTCTTTGGAAACTGTAATACTTTTTTGATACTAACAACAGTTTTTTTACTAACTGTAGAGTTAGTCTTACTCTGTGAGTGGGAAAGAAAAAAATATTTTGAGATAAATTTTATATAGACTTAAAATATCAATTATTTTTTATTAGTTTCATTAGCAAGCTAGTTTTAATCAATAGAGATTAACTATATTTCATAAGCTAGTTTATATATAGTTAATTTTTTTCTCTACAGTTTCAATGGAAAATATCCTTACTGATGTTCACGAGTTGGAAAAAGGCATGGACTTGTGTAAAAAAGAGATGCAACTGAGGCGTGATGCCAGAGACGCTGCTGTGTTGAAAGACTTTTTAAACAGCCACGAAGATTCTCTGAGGAAGCTGAAAGAGGGTGCTAAAACTGCTCAGGTATGAATAAATTTCTTCAGAAATTCAAAATAAATAACTTTGTACAGTAGGGAACCGACCATCGCTATTCCGAATAACTGATTTTTCCGGTTTTCTGAATCGCCACAAAAAGCCGTTTTTTTATTGTTAAACCCAACTAAAAAGAAATTTTTTTTTTTTTGGAAATAATCTTAAAAAGAAGAAAAAACGATGGAGTAATACACTAATGATTATTTCCAAAATGATGGTAAGATAAACGTCTTTCAAAAAAGAACAAAAAATCCTAAAATCTTATGAGGAAAAAAAAAATTTTTTTTAAAAAATGGCGGGAAAATTTATCGAATTTCGTTTCGGTTTCCTGATTTACGGATAACGGGTTCTGTACTGTAATTATAAATTTTAATAGTCTAGTACAGTGGTTTCCAACTGGCGGCCGCATCTGGCCCGCGAAGCCTTTTTTTGCGGGCAATTTTCTTAAAAAATCTATATGGGTTTAAAATACTTTTCTCGTTAATAAAAACCTAATTTCTTCGAAACCGTGTTTCTGTGAAATTTATACCAACGGTGCAAAAAACAATTATTTCTCAGGTTCTGCATCCAAGAAAATATTTATTCAAATACAAAAATAATCGTGTATCTCTTTTTTACTTCATTTTTTATATTTTGTGAATATAATTTAGCATGTGTGTATCAGAAATTTTCTCGAAGAAATTCTCCGATTTAACTTTTTGAAACCACTCATTTTGGACGAAAATATTTACTCACACATTTGTAAATTTAAAATGTAAATATCTATTGTCTGGTGGTTGCAGCAGACAAACCTCAATTTTGTCATTGAACATTTTGTGTGCTACTATGTAAGTTTTAATACTAACCTTTTTAAAGTTTTATATCTTATTAATTCGACATCTGTTGCACATTAATTGATTAATACATGGGTGCAGATTAAAGTTATTGTAGCCCAAATTTTTTAATATGCATTTAAATATTTTTAAAAATCTTCTTCTTATTTTAATTTGTAATTCAATACTTTTGTTTTGTACAACTTGGTAAAAATCTGACAGTAATATTTAATGTTCCTTCAAACATAAGAGTCCTACATAAAATTTTGATAAAACTGCGACCCGCCATTTGATTTGTATTTTTAATTGTGGCCCCCGGCCTCATGTAAGTTGGAAACCCCTGGTCTAGTACAACAGTTCTCAAAAGGTGTTCTGTTGTATCCCTAGGGTTCCATGGAAAGGTCAAAGGGGTTTTGTGAGTTTGGACTTGTTTTTTTTCTCCCCTTTCTTTAAAGCAAAAATGATTTTTGAAACCTGGTATATGTTTGCATCGAACCAATAAATAATGAAAAATTACTAAAAGAATATTCATTTATAAATGATTGCATTAGTATTTTTTATTGAACTTTAAAATTAAAAATAATGTAACTGAATTCAAGAATAAAGAATTATTTTTCATCAATAACCATTGTCGTCATTTAAAAAGTTTTCAAACTCCACAATTCAGCTTATTATATTCAATTTGATTTATGTGCACACTAAAAACTACTAGACTAATTGCCGAATATAAAACCGGCATAATATAAATTTTAAGACTTATTAATGAAACAAAGAAACAATTTCGTTCGTCCTTTAGAATGTTTCATAATTTAGTTTCTAGTTTTTTTTCAGGTTAACACATTCACGCCTGCTAAAGAACTTGTTTTTTAAAGTCAAAATTCCACCAAAAAAATTTGGTTGTCTAGGGTTCCGTAGCTCGAAGAAAAAAAAAATTAAGAGCCGCTGGTTTATTAAATACAGATACACTGTTTCATACATTTAAGGTTAAACACAGTAAAAGCAAAATTAATTAAATTTTTTTTATTATAAATGCTTTTCCACACATGTGTTTGCTCTCTCTTTTCAGCAGAAAGTCAATCTTCAGTGCATTTTATAGGTACTACAAAAATTTGAAGTAGTAAAAGATTATTTTAATAAATATATTTGAATTGTACACTCTTTTGTATTTAAATTTTTTGCTGGTCCTTTAAATGCAAACAAATCAATATTCCTTACATGCACAAAATAAGTGAACACTAATTTATTTATTTATTTTCAGGAAGCATATTCTGATTGTGTGCAATATTTTGGTGATAGTGTTCGTTCAATAGCTGCCAATACCTTTTTCTCACTTTTTGTACGCTTCTCTAAAGCATATAAGGTAATTCTGTTATATTTTTATTTTATTTTTAAAAAAATACAAATATAATTGTGGCCTATATTTACTGTTTCTTTTTATTTCAGTTTATTCTTGCTTGTTTGCTCTTAATTATTTTTGCCCTTTTTACCATGAAAATTTATAATTAAAAAGGGATACATTTCACGATTTGAAATTCTATCTCTCAATTAAAGAAACTTAATTTTTATAATTTCAAGGGTGCCTTTAATTTTAAAATTGTCTTTTAAAGTTCTTTTTTCCTGATATTTTTTAATAATTATTTCTATGTAAGTTAAGGATATTTAATGACTGATTTGTTTGTTTATAGCAAGCAGAATTGGAAAATGAAGCGAGAAAAAGGCAAGAAGCAGCTGCGAGAGAAAGTGAAAAAATAGCTGCTGAAAATGTTTCAAAAAGAAATAGTCTGAATTCTAGAAAAAATAATCAAGTAGGTTTTGGCGCTTAAAACTATAAGCTTGTAGAGTAAGTTTACTGTAGAGTTTATCTTTTTAATGCACATTTTTTTTCTTCAAATATTCACTTTAATTTAATGAATAATCTCCAATTAATAATAGCCTGAGTTCAATCAAACACAAATTAAAGCGCACATAGCCCAGACTTATTGTATTATCTTGAGATAGGTCCTTATTTTACTGCTTATTCAATTGAATAACAACCAGAGATAAAAACAGAATCTACAAAAAAGAGTCGCACATAAAAAGCAAACCACTGAGCAATCCATAAAAAACAATAACATATATATATATACTGAGGAAAATACCATATCTGGATTCATCAGGACTTTGGCAAGTCCGAATCAATATATCAAAATATATATAATATCAAAACATCCTAATTCAATAACAAATGGACAATAATTAACTTCCATTTCAATAAGAAACGAATAAATCTGTGTGGCATGCGTGATTCCACTGTTCTGAAATATTTTGTTACAGATTTCCACAGTTTTTAAAATTTATATGCAATTTCCAAATCACACATTTTGATGACTTGATTTGTGACAATGTTATTGTCCATGTGGTTTTCTCTATCGCCATTTCAATGGTTTAGGATTTCTACATAGTTTTTAAAATGATGCTTTAATTTTTAATAGAATATTATTGTGATCCTCAAATTCAGAATCGCGCTTTTGAATTATCAATTAACGACCCGCTTTAGTCGTGACAATTTCGTCTCCAATGCGCAATTTTTTTCAAAATTTTTAGTTTTTGGGCACTTTGAAATTAAGTGCATGATTCTTGGTGGTAATAATCCTTTAATGCGAGACGTAAAAAAAAAAATACGAGATTTTTTTCACTTTGTCGCAAAATGCCAAATTTCGTTTACATGATATCCAGTTTTTCTTCAGATTGTAGCGGAAATTGAATTAAAATCAAACACAAAGGATTCTCATCATTGCATACTTTTTTTCAAAAAGTTTCAAATGTGAAAAAAAATTTATAAGAAAAAAAGTAGATTATGGGAGTTTATTTATTTGTTAAAATAAATAAAATTTCATTGAAGCGAAAATATTTAACTTTCAATTAATTGTAAAAATTAAAAATATCTTTTTATTTACGAATATTGTTCAAATAAGATTAGTAGAAATGTCTACCTATTTTGTGAAATAAGCAAAACAAGAAGTAATTAAAGTATAGTTTTTATATGTTATAAAAGATTTAACAAGTGTGTAGATTTTGTTTCCAATTAAAATTTATTTCATATTTTAAAATTATACCTGTTTAAATACAAAATATTTGAACACAAGCCATTATATTATGCACAAGAAAGTAATAGCTTTTTGTAATTAATCAGATGTTAACATACTCATTTATTTCTACCCATTTTTTTTCTTCTTCCCTTAATTGGTTTAAGAAACCCTATAGCAATTCATTTGCATTTGATAAACTTATTAATTTCATGTGTTCCACAAAATTAGCGCTATGAAATAGATTTAGATTTCTTTTCGGACTTTAAAACGCTCTTGACTTAATTTATTTGCATAATTATTTTGAAATCTGATATGGAACTTACACTTCATCTAATTATAAATAATTGAAACAATGAAATACCAGTGAGAATATTCATTCGTGTTATGCAAGTCCAAAATATAACTAATCTTATTGCTGATAAAATAGTTACAGGAAAAAAAATCTAGTAATTGAAAACTTTTCATTATTATGAAATCTTTGTTTCTTGTTTAAAATGAGTTATGTTTTGTATAAGAATAGTTATACCAAAACTAATTTTTTTCAGTATAGAAAATTTAATGCTGAAGTATTAAGGCAAATATATATATAATTGAAATATTATTACTTTCTTGAAAGTATTCTCATTACTTACTTTGTATTACAGGAAGCTGTGATTAATGAACTGAAAAGCAAAACTAGACAAGTGAAAGAAACAAGGTTATTGAAACAAGATGAAGTCTACCATGGGGCTTTAGAAGACATTTTACTGGGTAAGACTATTATTATAATTGTGAATCGTTATTTTCTTAATAAAAATTTTTTGATGAAGACTATATTTAAAAAAAAGAATAATTTTACTTAGATAAATTTTTATGGCTATTTGTGTTTTTAAATCCACACTAGTATATATATATATGTTTTTANAATCTTTCTTGAAATTGTTCGTTATCCGAATATGTGTTCGTTATCCGAACACAAAAATCTTTCGTGAAAGTGTTCGTTAACCGATTTGTTCGTTAACCGATCTGTTCGTTAACCGATCACCCACTGTATATATATATATATATATGTGTGTGTGTGTGTGTGTTTATTTTTTCTGTTACTGAAGAGAATTAAAGTATTACTCTGTTATAGCATGATTTCATCTTGAAATATGATTCATAAAACAATTTCAAAGTTAAATTCTGTATTTTTAAAAAAGATTTAATTAAGTAATAAATTTACAACCTGATTATTCTTTAAATGTTTCTATTATGTGTATGGATAATAAAATAATCTTAATAAAACAATTGGCAAAATATCATGTAGCATTATATGAACTAAGAATATATCAGTTAAATACCAATACATAGTTTATACAATCGCATTTGCTTCACAATTAAAGGTTCAAATTGTAGAAACAAAATTCATATGTAACTAAAATGTTCTGTAAGAAATGCTTATAATTTTCTGTCCCTGAATTAGTTTAAGAATTACTGAACTATAACTATTTGAGTAAATATAAAACACATTTCTTTTGAAGTTTTATTTGCTAACTGTGCATTTAATGTTAAAATCGTCTTTTAGGTCTTAAAAGTGAGCCATATCGACGTGCAGATGCTGTTCGAAGAAGTCAACGACGAAGACAAGAAAATATAAGGCTATCCCATACAATGGATGAATTGGACTTCTGAAATCTAGTTTTGTATTATACAAATTCTTTTGACAAAATGATTTAGATTTGTGCCATTTTTTGATATTTGTTAAATAGATAGCTAGTATTAGCTGTAAATCGTTTGACTGCCTCTTTATGGAAGGCTTCTAGTTATTTCATAATTGTACTGTTACTGTTTCCTACTGATTTCAAGATAGTATATTATTTCAGAATAATTTTTTTTGAAATGAAATCACTCTTATTTAAACAAAAAATTAAGACACATTATACTTGAACATTTTATTAATTTGAAATTATAGCAAATATGTTTTTTTTTTTTATCTGATTGAATTAAAATTTAATTGTCTCACAAATATTTGTTGGAAATTCCTAATTGCTGCAAAAGATTTCAATAAAGCATGTTTTTTTTTAAATAAAACTTAATTAAATTTGGTTAAATTACCCAACTTTAATTGCTCATTAAAAAAAATTTCTGATTTAAAATTTTAAACATGGAAATAAAACAGTAAAAAATAAAAAGTTAGTATAGCATTGTTTTAAATATTATTCACAGTACAATTTAATTATTAAAAAAAAAGATGTTTTGAAAAATATTTTTATGGAAAAAAAAAGTAATTTATTGTCGACGTTTTTAAAGTAAAGTATATTGCATCAAATTTATATTTCTGTGTAAATAAATTTAGTTTCAGACTTCTTCATTTTTTATTACTGTTATATTTTTGATTTAGACATGATTAATTTTTGGACTTGCTTTTTGATTTATATATAAGATCAACATGAAAAAAATAAATTATATAAATCTTCAATGGAGATGACATTTGTATAAAGTGTATAATGAGAAGAGCTGCGACTAATATAAAAGTGCAATTGTAAATAGCCATTTGTTTTTGTCAGATAAGAAAAGTGATGAACTATTTTTCATAAGTATTTGTATTCTGTATCAAGTGCCTGAAAAATTTTTTCACTCAAAGTTCAATATTATATTTTGTAGTATATATTTGTAAATAGTGCTTTGTTTTTTTTTATGTGGTGCTTTATGTTTGATTAATGAAATTTTTAAAAAAAAATTTTATTCCTATTTAGCTTATTGTAAATCAATTGATTTATTATGTTTAATACAACCAAAGTTTTGTTATCCTTGGCCTTAATTTCTAAGTAAATGATGTTTTTTTTATCAAGTAATGGTAGTCAACAAATTCAAATATTGTGTTTTCATGATAATAATTAAATACTTAACTCAAATTTTGCAAACATATCGTATTGTAGATATTGTATTTAAGATAAAAATGTTAGCTAACAATGCAGTTTCTTGGTTATTCAAAGTGTAAATTCCCAACCAACTTTATTCTATGGTTGCATTTTTTGTTTCAGTACATGCCCCAGGCTTGTGTCGTCATAGTCACATTGCTTTAAAAGTGTTAGCATTATTTAGGATATATTTCAGATGACATGTGTTTAGGAGGAGTTACAAAAATATATAAAATTAAGTATAGTTAAGTTTTAGATGTTTAACTAAATATACATTTAGTGATAAAAAAAACAACTTGTTGTCAGTTGATTTTAGGTAGACTGGTGTTTAAAAAAGTATCATTCATTTGGCAGAAATTTATTTCTTGCTGTTGATCTTCAAAGATTTTTAAAAAAAATTGCTGTGATTAAATAAAGATAAGAGTATTCCATTATCAAAGTAAGTTATGAGACATGTTGAAATTTAGATTTACAAATTTCAATTACCTTTGTAAAGTTTTAAAACAGATCTTTTTTGCAATCTACAGATCTTATAAACCATTTAATCATAGTTAGATTTTATACATATAATTTAATATGTTCACTACATCATTCACTTTAGTGAACTTTTAATTTATGCAATGTGTTCACAAAAAGAAATAAATTGCATAAAATACTTATCTTTTGCCACTTATATTGTTATAATAAAACAAAATTATTTTAAAATATGTAAAACATTATTCAAAATCATTGTGTTCTATGTATCTGAATTATAATTTTAAACATTTGCTATGTTTTTTACACAATAGTTGTAAAAATTGTGATTTTTTTTACTTAGTAGGCTCTGATTTTTTTTTAAAAAATTTAGGAAAAGAATTATCAAAAATCTACTAAAAATATATCACTTTTTATAAAATGTAATAATTATAATTTTGATTACTAACACTGAATTTAATTAGCCCCACAGATCTATAATTGAATTTTAATGTTAACTTTGTTATTGTTTCCTAGAGTTCTGGAGAGTCCTAGAGTATAGTTACACTTCTTAATGAAGCACTAATATTTTGTAAACTATTTTGAAAATGTAATCACCTTTCTTAAGAAACAATCTAAATCCGAGCAATAATTTTTTCGCAATCATATTCAAAGATTTTTTAATCACTCATAATTCTTTTATATTTTGTACTTTATAATTTAATGTACTTTATTTCGCACTTAATTTGTCCAAAAAAATTATCCTTTTTATATCTTCTTTTATAAATTTTGTACCTTTTTTTTAGTTATTTTATTGATCTCATTCGAAAATGTTCCTTTTACATTCATTTTAAAATCTATTTTCTATGCCTGTATTGAAGTGCCTAAAAATGTGATATATCTCTTCTTTATTTTAAACAATATTCTGTGTTTAAGATAATCACTTGGGACCATTCTACTTTTTTCTAATATTTATTTAATTTCATACAGCAATGAGTTTGTTTTTATATTAATTTTTTTTAAAAATATTTATAACACATTTTACTGGTGAAAAAAGACTGTATTACGGAAATCCACAATTTTGATGAACTGTATATTTAAAATAACTTTAAATGAAATGTATTTGTACAAATTTGAAAATAAATTTTTTATGCTTTATTTAGTTTTCGTTCTAACTATATTGTCAATTTGTAAATAAATATTGTGCTGAGTAATTTTTCAAAAAATATTAACTGAAGTACTAATTTTTCTGAAAATTTGATGGGCAAAAATTAACTCTTTAAAAAAAGAAAATCTTTAAAGATCTTTCAAAATCTTTTATTTTTCGGCAACACTTCGACTTGAGAGGTCATGCAAACAAGACAACTTTATACATTCAAATCTGATAAATCTATCAGTAACAATTGGCTATTGTTGTTTTGAAGAGGGAGAGCTGTTATGCAACAAATTTTCTGCTTGCATTTATGGCCAGGATGTTTAGAATTGAATAAAATATCGCTATTTGCCACTTGTATGCAACTTATGTGGTGAAATCGAAAATGTTATGATTTCTGGTTTCTCAACTGCTTTATAGTTGTGTATCAGCATAGTGAAATGAGGATTTCTCAATTTAAGGACAACTACCACACCTAATTATTATAATAGTGACTATTCATAGATTCAGAAACTATTCAGTTAACATTTATTATATAGCCTACACAGAAGTTGAAATAAAGAAAACAATACACCAATTAATTTAATATGTTATTGACTACAAACAGCGAAGTCAGATATAAAAGAAAACAAAAAGATAAAAACACTTCTTTTTTTACATGCCTTTTTAAATAAATGTGCTATTTATTTAAAAATATGTGTTGAAACCATCTAAACTAGTGCAGTACGTAAACAAAGAATTATATTTGGTAGATTCATAAGTGTGGGGGCTTTAAGTAGTATAAAAACAGTGAAGATATGTATATAGAGGGGAAGACAAAGCAAAGAAAAGTTCAGGGTTACTACAAATTACTACATATGTGCATACATACAATATTTAACAAATTATTTTCTAAAATTAATAATGTAGCTTAATAATTTTTATACTATGTATCTTGATTTCATTGAAGGACATTTTCCAAAGAATAAAGCATTAACAGGGGTCTGTCCAGGCCAAATTTACTACCGTTTAGCGGTAGTTGCACAAAATACTTTTTCTTAAAATTTTATTTTTGTATCCCGTAAGAAACGATATATCCAGATTTTTGTGTTGATTTTTTAATTTAATTTTCACAAATAATGTGTACATTTTCACAAAATAGGTACCTCTTGGAAAAACCTAGACAGACCCCTGATTAAATATTCCAGTTTTGGGAAATTTTAAAAGGAATGCTTCAAGAAGATTAAACTAGGTAGGATATGAAATCTAAAGCTTGTAAATTTGAAATTTAATCACCTGATAGTTCTTTTATATCATTTTACAGGAAATATTTTTATCCCTTTCGCCCAACCCAAAAAAGCATTGTAATGCTATTTAACTGGATGCACATGTCCAAAAATAATAATTTCACAAAATAAATACTAAAATTCATTTAACAAGTATTATTTCAAAGAATGTCACAAACTTCAAAAGATACTAAAAACATATAATTTTCAAAATATGCAATTAACAAAAGGTTTTAATTGCTTATTTTTGATTAATATAGGTTGATTGCATTTTAAAAAAAATCTACACATAATAAAAAAAAAAAAATCGTAATTGAAAGATCTTTGTTATCACTATAGTCAATATACCATACATTTATAATCAATATAAAATTGGTATTCACAACAAAAAGATATAAATTAGAATTGAAACATAAATGTGAAGACTAATAAAAAATTTGTGACTTCATAAATAAGATACTATTTTTGGGAATGACTTTAACCACACTTTGTTTAAACAAATTTTATAAAACCATTCAAATGGAAAGAAAAATACTGAATAACCAGCTGATTATTAACAGTAGAGATAATTTTGCAAAACAACCTTCACACAACAGTAAAAATTTGCTGTATAAATACTTTAATTACGTTAAATACTCTAACGTTTTGGGAGAGGGGAGATAACAGAACTGTAACATTATTAATTGAATTACAATATTTTAGTGATATTCTGCATAATGTTGTGAAATCAATAAAAATTATTGAAAAAAATTTTACTTCAAATTATGGTGTTTTATTAAAAAAAAATTAGGACACAATATTAAAAATAAAAAAAAATAGTGAAATTTAAAATTATGTGAGATTTTAAATAAAAAGGTATTCTCACAATTGTATTTGCAAATATATTTGTTGAATAATAACTAATGAAAAATTAAGAAAATTCAACTTTTCTTCGGGATAATGAGAAAAAGTACTTAAACACTTAAAAAATAAAATCAAAAGAAAAAAATACATGATTACCACACTTGATGTGGATCAATGCTAAATTTGTAAAAAAAGAATCCTCAAAGATAATATATGTCAAATAAAAAAAAATCCTTGTGAGCTTAAAATTAATTTTTAAAACAATTCTTAAAATAAACCATAAGCACCGCTGTTAGTTCAATTCTTTTAACTTGAACACTAAAATTGAAATAGAAGAAAAAGAAAGTTAATGTAAAATAACAATTAAAAAAATAAAATCAATGATTCTTTTTTGCGGTGTTTTAGTAATACTTTTTTATTTTATCAACAGAGGCAGCTAAACCATTTCATTAAGTTGGCTTTCTTAAGTAAACACAAAAAAAAAAAATTTGGAGCCTACTATAACAAAAATATTCTACACCTGACAGTTATAAGTAAATTGCAGTTAACCGCAATTTACTTATAAAAACATAATATATAAGGAATATCTTAAACAGATTTATGAAAATTTAGCAATAATTCAATTTATTACAACATGAAAAATATTGTGAACATTAACAAATTTGATATCCAATTTTATAATATATTACGAAACAAAACATTGCAACAGATGTACCTAACTTATTGTTTGTTTCTTTTAAAATTGCAGCAAAACATTTATTAAATTCTGTTACGATGACAAATAAATTCTCTTAATTACCATCATAAAAAATAAATAACAATGTTTTTCTCAAATAGATATGTTTTCATCTTTCTAAATGACTGATAATATAGTAACAAATTTAGTTATTCCTTCGTATTTAAATGTTGGTTGACTCTTTGAGAGATACAGATTCTTCGCAGCTTTTAGGAACGATTTCCTCTAATTGGATCAATTGCTTATATTCCCATTTCTCAAATACTGCAACAAAATAAATGAAAATTAATTAAATAAATAATTAAAACAAATATCAGAAATGTAAATTATTTACTTAATAAACCACACATATATATCTTTGAAATTTATAACTTGCATTCGAATATATTTATTTCACAATATTGCAAAGAACGAATCTTGAGAAATGAACAAAATACAAAAAAATTTATTGCCTAATGCATTAAAATAATTATTGATAATAACACGAATGCCAACATAGAAGGAAAAATAATTTTAAAAAAAATAGGCAGGGTGGGACATAGATTCATTATAAAATTCCCAATTACTTTAAAATTCCCAGCACATAGCGAACTTTATAGTCAACAAATGTAAACAAAACTTTATTTCACTAACAACTACAAATTAACTCCATTGAAGTCTATTTAAATGTATTTCCCTTCCATAATTGATTGTAAAAAATCTTTTTATGAATATTTTTAATTCCTCATTTTCAATAATAAATTTATTTCAGATAGTTATAGGCGTTCATTAACTATTATAAAAATAGCGATTCCTAAATTTTATAAACTGAAAATTTCAGAACATTTAAAAAAAAAAAAAGCTTCACATTGATCTCAATACAGAAAACTTTGACTTACTTCATTATTTATTAGTATAACATATTAAAATACACATTCAAGCAATAAACTAAGTAAAAAATCTATTTTTCTGAAGATTTTTCAAAGAAAAAAAATTTCAATTTCAAAGAATTAGCTAAAATTTATACTAAAACCAGGAGAAATCGGCAAAACCCAGCAATCTACTAGATATTCTCGAAGAATTGCTTGAGCTATGTAATAATGAATGAATATTTCCACCTAATAAGAATGCCCTTTTACATATTCACACAAATTTAAAAGATTAACTACCTTAAAAAGCAGGGTATATAAAAATAAAAAAATTTAAAAACCCGAAAGGTTTTTATTGTTTTTTGGTTTATTAGGCTTTTTTGCGTTTATTTTGGTATTTTAAGATATTACCTAGTTTAACACTTTTTAGGTTTAAATTTTAATTCAAAAGGAATACTTTTAGTTAAAAAGAAAACTCTCACAGGAAAATAAATAATGAAATAAAATAGCTTTAATTTTAATACAATACAATATTCTTATGCTGATATTAATAAAAGGTTCTTAAGTTTATTCTTTCTTTGACTAAAAATAAAAGCATATTTATCTAAACACACTAAGTTTTGAAAGTAGGGTTATGTATGTTTGTGTATTACGTAATATTTAAAAAAACAAATAACAATTGATAAAGAGGCAGATTTTGATTATGCTTATAAAAAAATCAATAAAAAAGACTCATTTAAGCCCAAATTTTATTGGATTTTTTCGAAAACATTTACTTGCTTACTTATTTTTTTAGGGGGCGGTTAGTGGATGGGTCAAAAACCGTGTTAAAAAGTGCACTAGTTTCGAAGCACAAAGAAACAAACCTTGAAATATTTGGCTCAAAAGTAATGGTTGTTGACATTCATCAAGAAATATTAAAATAGTTTCTTTTAAGGCTGCAAATTCCACATTGATTTCATTCAAGTGATTCCCATCGACGGCAAGAGTTTCATGTGAATCTTCACAAACCAAATCTTTCAATAAAGTTTTAACGTTCTCATTTTGAAGATCAGTGGAAATATCATTTCCCTTAACATACGTTATTTCACTCAACTTAAATTCGCTACATTTTCTTTCAAATTTATCCAACACTTCATCTATAACATTTGCTTTGGCAAGTAAATGGGTCTTACAGTCTTTTAAGAGCAGTTTGTTAACAGTAAGGAGACCTTTAATCACAGAAATTGGAAAACTTATCTCAAATCCTTTCTTATATCCTTGGTCATATCCATTCTTTAAAGTTGTTTCTTCTCCTAAGCATTTGCCATCAATAAAACCTTCTTTGAGACGATATTCTTTTAATCTGTTCCATTCTACTTCTTCCAAAGATTGTTCAGAATGAAGAGAATGATTTTTCTCCGCGTCCTGAGCCATAAAAATATGAAATTTATACAATTTTCTAAAGAAAAAGTATAACGATTAAACTGTTTTAAAGATCGATCAATCCAATCACAATATTTATTTACACAGACACGGCTGAACTGGATCACAATTGTTTTCTTTTTGCAGATCTCTCATTTAAAGCTTATAGCTTACATTGATACAATTTATCAGTCTATTCCTATTTACTTCGCTAATGATAACAGTGCCCTCTTGTGAGTAATATGGTATGATGCCAAAAAATGTTACGAGCAAATCAGGCTTGTGCATAGTTCGTTCTGGAGTTGGCACTTGGCTGACCAAGTGCCCAACCATCTCCTAAAAATAGCGAAATAGTATCGTGGGATACCTGCGTGATGAAGGCAGAGACAAGCGCCAACTCCTGGTGAACAAACTGTACTCATAAAATCATATATCTTACCCAGTTAAAGAACAGATGATACAAATAAGAGAAGGACAGCACAAAGATACATTCGACCCCGCTTGCTCCACACTTTAAAGTGTTTGGCGTTATAGAATGGGCCTTTTTGATTGAGGCATTAATTTTTCAGATATGTCAGAATAAATATAAATAAAACTATATGTATTCTAAAATACAAATATAATTCTAAATTTAGCCAAATAGCAAAAGCATATAAAAAGATTTTGAATAATATATTTAAATAAATATAAATAATGCGTTTAAATAATTTTCATTATAAAAAATTTTCAAATTTTCATAAAACAAAGTTTTTATTGCATGCATTTTTTATATTATGGAGACATGCTATAATTTTCATATGATACATTTCTGAAGCATTCCCCCCCCCCCGCGTTGAATAAAAAATTTTATTAAAAGATATATCGTTTGCATTTATTTATTTATTTATTTTTCAATTCTATTTCAAGCGATTTTATATTTTGTAAAGAAGAAGGGAAAAAACTATGTTAAATTTCATCACTAACTTCTTAAAATAAATCGAATTACCTGACAACAATTTCTTAGTTAACATTGTAATTTACTGCAATATAGAGTTGAAATATTCCATTATAATTAAGGTATGTTTTACACTTACATATTTTAATTTAAATTACTGCTCAAAATGGTCTTGTCATCGAATTATTAAAATCAAGTTAATTATTGACTTATCATATGTCTAGAAGTTTTAATAAATTTAATGCAATTTATGGATGTATTTCACTGGGAATAAGAAAGAATTAAATTTTAAATTAATTTTCATTGTAGAGAATAAAGTAGAATTTTAAACTTTTATTTAACGTTCTTTTTATTGGTGGAAAAAATGACGAACACTAAATGTTTTGATGTGTTCATGCAGACAAAGCAATTTTTTTCCTTTTTCTTACTGAAAGGAAAGATTAGATTCGAAATTATTTACTGCTTTTAAATAAATTAATTATTGTAAAAATAAAAACAAATAAAGTCAAGGACAGTCAAGTTTGTTTAGTACAATAAAAGTCATAGTAAAACGTAATATTTATTTCTATTACTCCTATTAATTATTTTTTGCCTTTATTTTTCTAGTCTGGATGTAGTTGATGTCTTTAACCATGGAGTATCACATGCAAATGACATTAAGGTTACATCAATTGATGCGATTCCATATCGATGAATTAAATGCAATGTTTAACGCTAATAAAGGTATTTCAGAAAGTTGGTAAAATATTTTAATTATAAACATACCAGTTTTAAAATTATGGGCACATTAAATGCAAAATTAGAACTAAATATTAACTTTATAATCCATTTCTAGAAAACTATAGATGTCTGTTTATAGACGTCTATTCCATCTAATTAGTTTTGTATAATTTAATTAGGAAACAATGAATCGAACGGCCTTTAAACTTTGTGAAGCCTTTTAAATAATGACACGATGAGACACGATTTTTGCCTATAATATTAAAATAAATACAGGTTTTCTTTTCTCCTTTTTCTTTTATTTTCCGAATTTCATTCCTAAATAATTTAATCTTTTTTCCATCAAATTTTATACTACTGCTTAATTTTTATGTATACAACATTTTTGACTATCCTCTAAAAATGTTTCAATAACTTTTTTATTTTCTGATTCCAAAATTTTGATTTGTAAGAAGTTTCATTGTGCATGACTCTTTGATACGTGGAGACTACGGCTTTCTTTTTTTTCAATTTCATCAAGATGATAAAAAGAAAATATTTTTTTAAATTTTCAATACTAGAATTAAATTTTTAGAATTAAAACAAAATACGAATATTCACCGGCATGTTGCTCTTTAGAGTACGAAAAATACGAGGCCAAAAGCGAATCCACACGGCTATTCAGACTATAAATTTTTATATAGTAGTTCATCAACTTGAAACTATGATCAAATTCAAAAAGTTTTCTTTCGAGAGTGTGTTTGAAAAAATAGAGGAAACAATTCCATTGGAGCAATTTTCTTTCCATACAATTTCATTTCTATAATTTGAGAAATATATAGTACTTTACTATGCTACATTGGAATATTACATTATGCTACATTGGATTTAAAATTTATGCCCCTAATCCAAAGCTTGAAATGCGATTCGAATTGATATTACCAGCTAAATGCTTTGATTTTTGTTTCAGATCTGTCCTTCATGGATCCTGATCGAGCACATCAGCAAGTTTTACTGTCTTTCAGTCAATGCTATCATGCATTATATTTACTACAGCAGAAAATAAAAATTCTCCATGATCAGGTAATAAATGTATGTTGGTTCATAACGCTATTTAAAAAATCAATAACGTTAAACACACATTACCCAATCACGGCCGAGCACCTAGCCAGTGGCTAATTTATTATAAGGCCTGAGAGGCTCAAGTCTGAGGGGAGCCTTCCCCACCCCCCTTAATGCTACAAAAAATTAATTTTTGGGATTTTCCTTAAGAATTGTCTATTAGAGTTATGAGTTAAAAAATTTTAATAAATTTAAGCTCAAATTTGCTAGTATATCGTAATTTACTTGTGTTATAAATGATTTAATTTAAAGTAACGATCAGGAGACCCCTGACATTTCGATGCCTAGGGCCATTCCTAGATCAGGCCCTGCACATAGCGTCGTTTTCTTAGAGTTCTTCTATTAATCAGCTGATCTAGATGGCCATAGATAGAATACCACGTAATTTTTTACCAGACGACTTGTACAGTGCCTGAGCTGGAATCCCTCTTCAAACTTCCACATCACAGTCAACGGAAGGAGGAAGCCAAGGCGGATTTAATGCACACCTTGGTGCGCTTATATGCCAGCTGCAAGGCTCAGACTCACGATCCTAAAGTCTTGTCAAGAGGGGTGAGCGACTCCTTAACAGTGATGCGAACATTCATAATTTTATAATATTTTTGGTACCAATCGTTTGAACAGCTCATTTTACGAAGTAAATATTTATTACTATTTGTTTCGAACGTCATAAGTATATCAATATGATAAATTATCATTTATTTACAGAATGTTAAGTTTTTTATAAACAAAAGGCAAATCAATTACTAGCGAAATTTTTCTGCATGCTTTGTGAACATCAGACAGCACTATCGATAAACTCGTAACGCTATGCAAAATCTCTTTAATATTTGACGAAAGTCACGTAATCGAGTAAATATACATGAATCACTTTTCTTGAACAAGAATAATACTATGCCATAAACTCAACAGTTTAAACTTAAGAGGTTTAAATTTTAGTTCTTGATATTTCGACATTTTTACGTAAGTTATTTTTTTTAATAAAGCCCAAAAATATAACATCGTAGACTAAATTCAGTGTAAAGATAACATTTGCTACTTAGCATCCATTAAAGTAGTATGTTTGGAAACCTTAATATCATTTTTGGGCTTAGTTTTAAAATATTTTTGCTCTTATTATTAAATGTATTTCCCTTACTATAATTTAAAACAATTAATACTTTAAAGCGAAACTTACGCTAAGGTTTCTTTCTAGTTTTGAACGAATTCAAAATGTTATGTTTAAATATTTTGCAATATTTAATTTATAGTTTATTGCACGCATTATTTTCATTTTAGAATGTGGGCACAGCCCCTAAAAATATATGGTAGCATAATTTTGTTTTTCTTTTTGTTACTAGTGATTAATATAAAACTTTAGACCTCTGATTATATAATGAAACTCGTAAATTTCTGACCTAATTTTACGAAAGAGGCTAATTTGTTACGTTGGGTGCGAATTTTTTGTTCTCTTCAACATATAAAATAATTTTGCTAAAGCTTTTTACTTATCCGAAATAAACCATTGCATTGGTAGATTTCGCTGGCCAAGAACTAAATTCCATTATCATAGTTGCTTTTGTTTTATAGATGGAACGGATTAAAGGAACTACACAAAATTTACATTCAAAGTTTATATTTCATCCCGCCAATCACAAACCATCGATGCACAGCTCATTTGCATCAAATTCGTTTCCACCGCTCTGCATTTTCCCACCAGGCACACCTGAATCTTTGAATTCACCAGCTCGATGTGCATTTTCTTTTGAACCAATTTGTCTTTCTGAAGAATCTCTGTCCTATAGATCGCCGTCACTAAAAATAGAAGAAAGTAGCGATGAACGATACAATGACCAGAATCCTCTCTTCAAAGAAAACAAGATGATAGCAAAGGTATGATCTAACTTCGGGTATCATTATTTTTGTTTTGTATTATGACTGGTGTTGAGTAGTCGACCCAATTTTGAGTTTACGACTATCTATTTTAAACTTGTAATTTTGAACCCAACCCAGATGAAAAGGGAACTTCTGGATTAAGCATTGGGACAAACTAAACTTCGTAAAGGACTTTTAAATAGTACTAACTCGCATTTGCGTTAGATGGAGATATTTTACGCGAAAATATCTCATGATTAACCCGACGGTCTGGTACATTCTAACCCATGATTCGTCTACCACTGAGCATATTTTACGTCATCACTTTGGTCGGTGCGAGCCGGGAAAAGAATTCATATCAACCAGGATCATACGAACCAGGTTCACACCTGGGTCGCCTCATTGGGAGGAGAACGCTCTGGTTCTGGTATCGCTAGTTTAAATGCTTTTATTTTTTATTATGAAATAAGCAATATGATTCGTTCAATTTTAATGTGCAAAAAATTGATCGTAAAACAACCCTAAATTAAGCCTTTAGTTCACATTACTGTAGGCTTCGCTTCGACAATTAATGAGGTTTGGAATGATCTAGTTCGAAATAGAGTCTGATATATCATTAACAGATTTCTGATTTATTATTTCTAAGCAAGATTTGGGCTTAACTTGAGCCTACATTTATTCTAGCTTCGAGCTTAAGAGGCCTTTTTTCTTGCAACCGAATTCAACTTTCAAAGGGGAGTCGGTGGGGAGAAGTTAAAGAAGTTTTTAATCACCTTTATATGATTTTTTCAAAGAAAAGAAGAAGAAAAACGACGAGTTTCATCCGCGTTTTCTCACAATTTTTGCCAGATTTCTTTTTCAATTCAATTTATGAATATGAAGTACAATACGATTTACGGAAGCAAAATATAAATTTAATTAATCATACCAAGTAAATAAATAACTTCATCATATTATTTTGAAAAAGAAAACATTTCCGAATGATTTGGAGACTTTTTAATAAGTTATTATAAATTAGAAACATTATTGATTACTAGTGGTCTGCGCCCCCTGCACGCCAACTCTCGCTAACCCCCGAAAATTGCTAAGCAATCCTATATGGTTTGCTTCGCAACCAACTTAGGTACATTGCAAATGCACAAAATTCTAAGAATTCAAAACAATCATTCAAATCCACATAAAAACTTTTTTTTCTTAAAAAATTACATCTTTTTAGTAAATACTAAGTCATTAAAATAAATTTGAACTCAAATAAATGACATGTAATTCGTTAAATCTATTAGAAATGTGATACAGTATAATTCGTAATATAAATCAAAAATCGTCAAATAAATTCGTAATATATAAATTCGTGAAAAAAAAAAAAGCGCTTTTGACAAAATACTAAAATAGAGATCTATCGACAAAGACTACTCACTTCTGCCTAGCTTAATAATATGAGACTGTCGCAGCTGATGCTCTCTGGTTATTTCAGTTTCCGTTTTCAAAAGCTCCATATGTTGAGCCACCTCAGCTTGATTTGGCATGTGACATTTTTAGCGGCAATCATTGGTCGATTCACCGTGTAAGAGAAATAGTAACGTAAACAAAACAAAGCAAACGTTGCCACCAGCGGAAAAGAAATGCAGCCAAAATTTGGGAGCCACGTAAGAGAATTATATATATTAGATTAGTATGAATTACAATAAATCTTGTTTAACAATCGTGAAATCAAATGATAACTGACAATAATTTGAAGTACATTTTAAGCAAAACTTGATTTGAAACAATATAACAATGCACTTATTTTAATAAACATTTTATTTATTTAATACAGATAATACTAAATACCTCTTCAGAAAACAGTAGTTCCGAGGATGATAGTGTTACAGAAAAATTGCTCAATCCATTTCGACAAATGTTTGATAGGCAAGTAATAAAATGTTTTCTTTATTTTGGCAACTTTTTTATTACTCTATTAAAATCATTACTCAATTAATTCTCTTATTTTGATTACATACTCTTTATTTCTTCTAATTTGAGTTGCTGTAAACTTTTTTTTTATTCTAGTCGGCGGTTATCCCAGAGATTAGAGCTAGAACAAGAATTGGAAGAAATTTTGAGCTTAAAATAAAACATTTGAAGTGGCTTTTGGAAAAAGCGAAATTCATGTTAATGCCTTTTTGACGTTTCACACATATATTCGTTCATAATAAACTTAATAAATTACGCTTATGAACTGTTTAGTTTAATATTTTAAACAAGTTCACATCATTACACATTAATTTTAACAAGAAGAGACTGACCAGATAACTAATAATAGTAATATATTTTAGTGATATGTGGTTTGCATGATGAAGACTTAACTTACACAGAACGTAAATTTGCTATGGAAAAGAAAAAGTCACAACGAAAAGAAAATCTTTCAAAAATTGCTTCTTTAATTAATCAATCATCAAGTGCTTCTTTATTAGTTTATTAGTTCAATTTTTTTCTATATAGTCTGGTTCAAAATGTTATTTTTATGCGTATCCTTTAATTCTTTAAAATTTTAAATATATGTCAAAAAATTTAATTTTTAATTAAATTTTTTGACAATTTTTTTAATTTTTAATTAAATTTTTTTCATCTATTTATAAACTCAAAGAATTTTAAATAAGTTTCTTTTAAAATCCATTTTAGTTTGAAATAAATTATTCTAAAATTATTATTTTCTCATATGAAAAGTTTTCTAAGACTTAATTTGTTTCTGATGCTTTTTGTTTACTTTTTTTGAAAAAACAATGTGCTAAATTTAGTAGACTTTGAGCAGAATTATCAAAATTGTAAAATATTTTGAATTTTGCTAATAGATAAAATGGGAATTAAATTATCGATTTTGGACTTTTCTGTGGTAAAACGTTTAAGAATTCAATTCAACTATGACATAAACCGTCTGTTAAACAACAGACGCATTAACTCTTAAAATTTTCTTGTGCTAAAAATTATACGAATAGAATTTTAAAGCTCCTTTTTTACTATTATTTAGAATAATAGAAAAAAAATTCCCTCTCTGTAAATTTCTTTATTACATTGCATAATTTCTAATATAGTCACAAAATCTTTTCACGGTAGTTCTTAAAACAGTAGATCTGCATGAAAGAATTTTAATAAGGTACTAAAGTATGCATGAAATAAGTTAAAGTTGATTTATTGCCATTTTATCTCCAGCAATTCCCTTTCCTGTTGGCTGAAACGTTCTTTATTATTCATTCCTTGGCGATAATGTCAGCCGATTCTTTTCACAATCAGACTATTAAATATTAATGTTACATTCACACACAATGAACACATAAAATGAGAGAGAGAGAGAGAGAGAGAGTAAAAGGAAAGTTTGTGACCGTAGAAAAAAATAAGAATGAGAACTTTTGTATTTTGCGTGTCAGTGAAAAATCGACATAAACATTCGTGTTATATAAAAGAGTATGTGGTTAGAGGTAAATAAATTAATTCAGTAATTATAACAACTTACTGTTTTTTTTTTGTTTTTTTTTTTTTGTGAAGAAACTTGCTATTTTTCTCTGCTGTCAATGTGGTAGAATTAAAAAAAAAGATAATTTTGAAAATATATCGATAAGTTTAGAAGTTATGAGAGTGTAAAGTACTAATATTTCAATTTTTTACTTATACTTTTTTTCTGGATATAAAACTCTTTTAATTTCAAAACTATTCATGTTATCAACTTTTGATCTTATTAAACTTAGTGAAAAAATACATAAGATACAATACTTTACTTGTCTAGATATCAATGTCAGATATATGACTACAAAATAGCATATTTCATACATAAAACTTTTATAGGAACCATATAGTAAAATAACACAAGTAGATATAAGTACTCACGTAACTATTAGTACACAATTTTACTTTTTATTTATAAAAACTATAATAACTTTTTATCTATTTATCCTATCAACTTTTTTTTTGATTTACAGCGTGAAATACACTCTATAACAAAAAAATTGACGCACCAGGAAGGAGTTGTCCGATTGAAACGAAAATTGGTGGATAGGAAGACAATGTATAGAATAGTAAATGATTAAAATTTCAGAACAATTGAATAATTTATTGCAGAGTTACAGTAACAAGTTCAATAAGGTGTTGACCCGCCTCTAGCCTGGATACAAGCTGCCACACGGCGTGGCATAGACCGATAAAGCTCCCGGATGGTCTCTTGCGGTATTTCCTGCCAAATTCGATCCAATTGTCGAACGAGGTCATCAACATTCCGTGCCAGATGCAATCGCCCTCCCATCATATCCCAGACATGCTCGATGGGAGAGAGATCTGGTGATCTGGCAGGCCAAGGAAGAGTTTGATAAGCTTGCAGACAGTTAATAGCAACACGTGCCGTATGTGGTCTGGCATTGTCCTGCTTAAAAACCAACCCAGGGCGCTGCAAAAGGAACGGTAGCAAAACAGGTCTTAGGATGTCGTCGACGTACCGCTGCGCAGTAAGTGTACCTCGAATGACGACCAAAGGGGTCCGGCTGTCAAAGGAAATAGCACCCAGGACCATAATGCCTTGTTGAAGGGCGGTGTGGCGTGCAATAGTGAAGGCAGGATCCCCCCTTTGCCCTGTGCGTCTCCAAACACGTCTTCGATGATCGTCAGGACACAGTTGGAAGCGGGATTCGTCTCTAAAGACTATACGTCCCCAGTCGGCATCATTCCAGCCTGATCGAGCGTCGATTTTGAGCGTCTTAGTACGTTCTTGGTGCGTCGATTTTTTTGTTATAGAGTGTAATATACATACGAATACATGAGTGCATTTGTATGAAATAATTATGCATTTGTATGAACAATTTGTATTTGTATGGAATAATATACTGACATACAAATACAAATACATACATGCGTGAAATAAATAGCATACGAAATCCTCGTTCATCTAGCTAAGTATTTAATTATATAAAAGACTTAACCAAACTACTTTGTATTTACTTATAACCTTTGAACTATTAGTTTTATTTATTAGTTAATTTCGGGGTCGTACGATTGAACAC